GAGCCTGAGGACTGGGGAGCATGAGGGAGGAAGCCTGAGCGCCCCCTGCTGTCAGCTGATGGGGCTCTGATGGGATTGGTCCCCACAGATCAGTTCACATATTCTGGGGTATTCATATGCAGAGTCTTCCAGCCTCTCTTTCCTCAGACCCATCCCCCCTCAGAGTGGGGAGTTCTGCCAGTCCTATGGTGACCAACGTTCACTGGTGCACTGTCCCCCTCCTTGTCCCTCTGTCCTAACAACCTGTCAGGGTGGCTGTAGCTGGTCCTGTCTGTGGTGTGACCACACATGCTCACTTCCCTGAGCCCGGACGGCTCGGCTCGTCCCATCCCTGGCTCCCCACGTCTTTCTTACCCCCTCACACCCCAGCACCGCCAGCCCAGCCCCCCTAGCACAGAGCAGGGACGTGGCTTCTCAGGGTCCACGAAAGGCCGAGAGCAGATGGCCACCGGCTCCATGAGTGTTGGCACCCAGGTCTTCACTTTGCAGGAGAGAAACAGGGAGCTCTGAAACCTTCCCTGTGTCTATGCATCGTGGTTGAATGTGTCTCCCAAATATGTACATGTAACGAACGATACCTCAAAAAACAGACTTGGCTTCTCCTCCCTGCTCCCTTTCAAGGACTTTCTAATAAGTCTACTTTTACCTTAAAAAACCTCAAAAAACCAACCACACTCCCATAAACAACAAGTCTCCAACTCACAGCCCTCAAGTCAGAACTCCCTTCAAGCTGACCGCCCAGTGGGTTTTCAGTCCTGTGAGTCACACAGGAGACTTTCCTCTTCAGAGCAGCCGGTGGATTTGAACTTGAGACATGCCCTGCCTTGAGATTAGAGGCAGCTTCTGGAAGACCAACCACCAGAGGCTCTTGTAAGTGGCAACAATGTAACAATCTGCCCGGGTCTGGGGACTGGCAACCGGAATGGCTGTGAAGGAATTAAGGGTGGAATGCAACCCCCTCAACCCCACCACAGCCCTGGCCCAGGGTCGGGGAGCACTCCTGGAGGGGCTGGTAATAGCTCTGAGGGGGGACCTGCACCCCTCAACCCCACCACAGCCCTGGCCCAGGGTCGGGGAGCACTCCTAGAGGGGCTGGTAATAGCTCTGAGGAGGGGACCGGCACCCTCCAACCGCACCATAGCCTTGCTGTTATGTGCAGTCGAGTTACATGCGACTGACTCATAGTGACAACGGCTTTGAACCCTGGCCTATCCTGTGCCAACCTTATCATCTCTGACACTCCTACCCCCCATTACCCCAGTCACTGAATCAGTGCATCTCATCAAGAGTCTTCTCCTCCTGCGCTGTCCCTCCACCCTCCCAAGCATGACGTCCCTCTCCAAGGACTGGTTCCTCCTTGCAACATGCCCAAAGTATGTCAGACGAAGCTTCAGAATCCTTGCCTCCAAGGAGCAGCCTGATTTAACCCTCTCCAGGATGAAGCTGTTTACTTTCTTGGCAATCCATGGTATATTTAATACTCTTCTCCAGCACCACAGCTCAAAGGCGTCAATCCTCCTTCTGTCCTCCCTAGTCATTGTCCAGGTTTCTGATGCATAACAAGTGATTACCAGATCCCAAATTTTTGTATGCTTGTGAAATTTGGTCCATGAATAAGCAGGACTGAGGAGTACTTGATGGCTTTGAATTGTGGTATTGGAGAAGAATATGGAATATTCCAGGGAGAGACAAAAGAACAAAGTTCAGGGTCTTTGCTCCTAGGGTTGCTATGAACCAAAGTTGACTTGGCGGTGCATGACATGTTTTGTTTCTCAGTAAGGCTACCCTTATTTCAGATGCTTAAACTCTGTGTGAATGATTAGCTTTCCTAGGCTTATATTTGAGTGAAGTCGGAAGAACATGAACATGGAAGTGTCCTGGGATCAACCACCTGATTTGTCAGGTGAGTGGAGAGAGCTGCCAAGGCCTCTGTTCTCAGACAGCCTGTGGGGTACCGTAATGTGCTGCCTACACACGCAGGACAGGCAGCTCTGGATACCGCAATGTGTCTTGTAAGTGACAAACAGGCTTCAGCTAAACACTGCCATCTGAGCAAGTGTGGGACTGTTTTGCTGAGTCAGCCTTATGTAAGGCTAAGCGTGACTGCACAGGTACATGGTGTGGTCAAGTTTGGCAGAAATACCATCTTTGGCCATAGCACTTTAAGAACTTGGTGAGAGTACGGCCAAGCACAATCAATAAGAGTGCATCTAAATTCCAAAATCAATCTCCATAATAGTCTATGTGTTTCCTACTGCCAAAGGGGCCCTTTAGAGTAGTGAGAGAAGATCTTCACCCTGAAACCCACAGCGTCCCTTTTCAGCAGGAAGTAGCTAAGAGAATACGCCATCCCCTTTTCCTTATGACTCAGGGTGAAGTCTCTCTCAGGGAGGAGTGATGGGGAATGGCAAAGGACACACCGACAAAGAAGATTAATCAGAACTGGCTTTGACAAGCACTGTGGCATTTGGACAAGAACAAACTGGGAGGAGGGTAGAGAGAATAGTGCAACAATGAATGAGTGGAAGCCCAAAATCTCTGTAAATGTTTATGAAAATTAATAAAATATAATTATAGAGAAAAAAAAAAGAACTTGGTGAGAAAGTTCGCTCAAGGCTCGAGATGGCACTTGGCTCCCTACACTCGACATGGACAGCAAACAGAGCGCTGTCTGAAAGGTCCATGCCCTCTGGGACACTCCAAAGGAACACTAGCAAAACACATAGCCAGTGGTGGTGGTGTTGGGTGCCATGGAGTTGATTATGACTCATAGCGACGCCGTCTGTGAACAGCAGATCTGAATCCTGACCTATCCTGCCATCCTCACACCTCCCAACACAGCAGAGTCCGCTGCAGCAGTCACCGTGTCAGTCCACCTGCTCGAGGATCTTCCTCTCCTTGCCGACCCTCCACATTTCTGAGCAGCAAACTTTTTTTTTCTTTGCCAGGAAAATCCAACTTTTATATCCTAAATGAGGCATGAGGAGAAGATCCACACTGAGTCCCTGGGGGCAAGAGCCACGCACCCCCAGGAGCGACCTCTGTCGTCACCGGGGACGCACACTGCACCTGCGTGAGAGCATGTGTTGTATTTAAAATGCACGTTTTGGTGAAATCGGGCTGCAGCTAAATGCAGCGTCAGCCTCCAGCGAAGAGGAGAGCAGGATATTTGCCCATTCTGCCTTGGCTGGTTGGGGGTAGTCACAGCAGCATCATGGGCCCAGAGTTGGGGTGTTTTTTTTTGTTGTTTTTTTGGTTTTTTTCAGCAGTCCTATTTTAACTATCAATTATCTCTCGGGGCAGGTCACTAAACTGTGTCTCTGGATAAAAGGCAATCCCTCAGGTCATTTACTATTTGCTGGAACACACATGTATTAGGGCTGGGTCAGAACATGAACAAAATGGAATGACTTTGGTTTCTGTTACATTATAATGGCTAAGATTTCCTCAGCTCTTCTTGCTTTTTTCTGGTTGGCCACTGAACCTGAGGCAGGGCTTTGAGCTGGTGACCTTGGATGTGATATCTGGTGCAATGAGCAGGGCTGGGCACAACAAAGCATTATTTACACACCATACTGTCTCGTAGTGTGATGAGTTAAGAGCTGTGCTGAACACCCAAAGGTCAACAGTTCAAATACACTAGCTGTCTAAAAATGAAGAGTTACAGTCCAAACGTACTCAGTGGGTTTGGACTGCATTGAGTTTTTAGATATAAACCAAGAAAAACCAGAAAGTGCCTTTGATTTCCACTAAATTGGATGTTGTTGTTGTTATGTGCTGTCGAGTCACTTGTGACTCCTAGCGAACCCTGCTCTACCCTGAACCAACCTCACTGTCTCAGACACACCTAGCCCTATTACTCCAGTCACTGACTCAATTCACCTCATCAAGGGTCTTCCCCTCTTGCACTGTCCCTCCATCTTCCCAAGCATGATGTCCCTCTCCAAGGACTGGTCCCTCTTTGCAACATGCCCAAAGTATGTCAGACGAAGCTTCAGAATCCTTGCTTCCAAGGAGCAGTCTGGTTTCACCCTCTCCAGAACGAACCTGTTTGTTCTCTTGGCAATTCATGGTATATTCACTACTCTTCTCCAGCATCACAGCTCATAGGCATCAATTCTTCTATCATTCCTAGTCATTGTCCAGCTTTCTGATGCATAGCACATAATGGCGAAGACCATGGCCTGTATCAGACGCACCTTAGTCTCTAGACTAACATCGTTGCTCTTCAGTACTCTGGCGATCTCCTTGACAGACTTTCTCAATGCAAATTGGTCTTTTGATTTCCTGGCTGCTGGTACCAAGAGTGTTGATTGTGGAGCCAAGCAAACTAAAGCAAGGTGGAAAACCTATTTGCTTACATCATGCAAAAAAATGCTTAGGGAAGATACACAAACAGGTGGTGAGGCTCAAGGCAACAATGAGCGCTTCAAAGCAAGAACGGGTGTGAATGCCCCAGGTGGGCACTCTCACATTCTAGTATCTTTGGAAATAGGATTCCTTTGAAGTCTAAGAATAAATTTTTTAAAGGGGAGATGAGCCTGAAAGGTGAGTCTCTCACACAGGTGCTTCTTTAGCAGATACTCCGTGTATGAAAGGGGTAGACCCCAGCTACCCTGCTACAAGGCCGAGGACACCCGCTGCCTCCCATCGCTTTCGGAACCATTTAGCACCGGAACCTGACATTCTGAGCCGCGGGGACACTGACAACGCGGAGCACTGCCGCCGGAAGTCCTGACTACACATGCGCAGACCCAGCGCCTGCTCAGATTCGGCGTCTAAACGCGGGGGCGGGGCCGGGGCGGGCCCACCCCCACCCTGGCCCATCATCCGATGCGGCCTATTGGCTGGGAGGTGGAGCGTGGTTCGGACCCACCTGTGATTGGATGGTGCTCGGGCAGCTGGGTCCGTGGGCCAATCACTGCGCAGCGCGTGAGGCCAAGAGCTGGCCAACAAGAGGTCCGGCACCAGAACCTGTGAGCGAGTCCCGCACCCTAGCTATGGCCTCGGACAAGTCACGCGTGATGGTCACCTGCACCGCGCCTGTCAACATCGCGGTCATCAAGTACTGTAAGTGGCGAGGTCGGGGGCGCTCGGACTAGGTAGGCAAGCGTGATCCAGGCCCCAGGTCCCCCTTCCCCACCACGGGGTCGACCTGTGCGCGTTTCGCGTGGCTGCCCGGGGGCAGGAGGAGCCGCCTGGCCGCCCACTGGCTCTGCCGCCCAGTAGGTGACTGCCGGGTGAGCGAGGCTGTCCAGCCATTCACGCACCTTTTGGTGAGCGCAGCCAGGTGGGTGGGGCCAAAAGTGAGAACTGCAGGTGGTCAAAGGCTGGAGTCGGCGTGTTCAGTCCCTCGGTCTGCTGCCGGGTGGGGGAGGCCAGGGGTCACCCTGATCTGCTGTGTTCTGCGACTGGCGTCTCGTTTTAGCGGGACCTCCCGTTCACAGGTGTCCGCCCTGAGCGGAGACTGCAGCTGGCCGCACCCGGCCCTCTCCCTCTGCAGCCATCCCGGGAGGACCGGCTGGGTAGCTCTTACTCAACACTGCCCCTCCCGCTGGCAAGCTGCCCCAGCCACCTGACATAGCTCCACACACACAGTTGTAGGAAATAAACCTTTGATCCAGGAGTTCCAGTGGTGTAGTCCATTCTGCTAGCCCAAAGACCATGCCCCCGGCATTTCTAGTCCATCAGTGGCTTCGGGGAGAAAGACAGGCAGTCTCCTCCCGGGGATTCACAGTCTCAGAAACCTGCTGCTTCGCAAGCTTTTAGTCAGTTGTGATTCCTCCGTGGCAGTAACGAGGGAGACCCTCAGCCCTGTTTCCTCCATGGGAACATCTGGCAAGGCCCCGGTGTAATGCAGACAAGGACAGGTGCTGTCACCCTCAGCATCCCTGGATCCTGGGTTGGGCTGATGCTGTTCACTTGGCTTTGAACTTAAAGGTTGGCGGTTCAGACCCCCCCCCTAGAGGCCTCTTGGGAGCGAGGCTTGGCTGTTGGCCTCTGAAAGATTTCAGCCAGTTTCTGCTCTGTACTGTGTGGTCTTTGTGATTTGGAGGTGACTTGACTGCTGTCCGGACAGAGTGGGGTCCCCACACCTCAGGAGATGGACTTGGAAGTCACTAGAGAAGGGATGTGGGCCCTGGGCTGGGAGGCTGATGGCATTCTGGGTCTGCTGTAGGGGGCAAGCGTGACGAAGAGCTGATCCTGCCTCTCAACTCCTCCCTGAGTGTCACCCTGCACCAGGACCAGGTGAGTGGGCGCTGACCGCCATGTGGACAGGCTCCTCTGCCCTCCCGCCCTGAGTACTGTCCCAGTATTCCCTCCCTATTGTGAACAGCACACCACACACACACACACACACACACACACACACACACACACACTTAAGGGTCTCATCACATGCTTTGGGCGTTCAGCACACCCTGGGGCTCAAACACATGTACACACACATACACATGCCCCATCACACACACCCCTTTGTGCACACCGGCACACCTGTACATGCAGATTCGCACACACACCCCTTACACACCCAACATGCCTTCAGGGCCCAGCACACACATGCACGCCGGCACACCCATGTGTACAGACACGTGTCCTGGGGCCCCGACACACATGCACACTGGCACACGTGTACACACGGATTCGCACATGCCCCTCAGTGTACATGTGTACAGACACGTGCATCAGGGGCTCAACACGCACGACACGTGTACAACACCCCCAGGGTCTCTGGGAATGCAGCCACGCACAGAAAGAGGCGCTGTGGGCATAGGTGAGGCGCCACCACAGGCTGTGCACAGCTCCCAGAACCCGCCCTGCCTGCTGGCCACAGGGGCCATAGGAGGAAAAGCCACCAGTAGGGAGGGGAAGCTAGGCTGGGCCCACATACTCCTCCGAGTGACCCCACTTCCTTTCCAGCTAAAAACTACCACGACCGCCACCATCAGCAAGGACTTCACGGAGGACCGCGTCTGGCTGAACGGCGTGGAAGTGGACGTGCGGCAGCCGCGCCTGCAGTCCTGCCTGAGGGAGAGTGAGTCCCCTGGATGTTGGGGGGTGGGCTGACTCCCTCTCCTGGGTGAACTGTGTCAGTACCCACTGGGTCTGGGGGCCGGGGACACTTCCCCGAGGTCAGGTGCCAACATGTCTTGCCTGCAGTCCTGCTTGAGGGAGTGTCCTGGATGCTGAGGGGTGGGTGGTGTCAGCACCCGGGGGTGCTTCCCTGCGGTCAGGTGTCGTGTCTTGCCTGCAGTCCACCGCCTGGCCCGAAAGCGCAGGAGCACTGAGGACAAGGATGCCCCGGGCCTCAGCCTCAGCCACAAGGTGCACGTGGCATCAGAGAACAACTTTCCCACAGCGGCGGGCCTGGCTTCCTCGGCTGCGGGCTATGCCTGCCTGGGTAGGTACCAGGGCGCCCCTCAGGCCCCCCCCCCTTGCTCAGCGTCTGAGGTCTCTTGGCACACGCATCTCGGGCTCAAGGCTGTGGGTGGCCTGTGTGCCAGGCCCTGCTGGGCCGTAGGTGACGGATACCTGCTACTTAGGCTAAAACGTGAGGTGCTGTCGAGTCAGGATTGCCTCCCGGCCGATCTCCAGTGGGGGTGCAGAGGTTGTGAGTCCCGTCGGGAAGTTGCCAGCTCTTCCCCTGCAGAGTTAACTGGACTCCTGTAGCTCTCCACCTCCCCTCCCCTCCCTCCAAGTCCAGCCCAGGTCCCCCGACTTGGAGACACCCCAGCCCCTTCATGGTTTCTCCTGGGCATAGCTTCCTCCAAAGCTTGGGAGAACTGTGTGAGAGGAGCTCTGAATGACTGGGTCACCCTCCTGACGTTTAATCGCCCAGGACATGAAGGGCCGTGGATGCACGAGGAGGGAAGGGAGTAGGCTAGCTTTGTGGTCAGATGGACAGAAGGACAGTTGCCCATGTGGATGGAGGACTGAGATGGGTGAATGAATGGATGGACAGAAGGAAGAACAGACGTGTGGATGGAGGACTGATGGATGGATGGACAGAGGAAAGACAGGCACATGGATGGAGGACTGATGGGTGGATGAATGGATGGACAGAGGGGAGGCAGGACGTGGGGATGGAGGATTGACGGGTGGCTGGATAATGGGTAGGTGGGTGAGGAGTGGGTCAGTTCTGGATGCTGTGGGCAGGCAGGTCAGTGGTCAGTGTTTGAGCAGCACCTACCTGACAGGTCCTGGTCTGCAGACCCAGGCCTGACCTTGGTTGTGCTCCCATCTCTGAGTGTCCACTCTCCTGTCCAAAGCCTACACACTGGCTCGTGTTTACGGGGTGGAGGCCGAGCTCTCCGAAGTGGCCCGCCGGGGCTCGGGCAGTGCCTGCCGTAGCCTGTACGGTGGCTTCGTGGAGTGGAATATGGGCGAGCGGGCTGACGGCAAGGACAGCATTGCCCAGCAGGTGGCCCCTGAGTCGCACTGGCCGGAGCTGCGTGTGATCATCCTGGTGGTGAGTGAGGAGCGGGTGCCCGGGGAGAGGCTCGGGGAAGGGGCCTGATGTGGCTGGACCAGTGGGCAGAGCAGCCTGTGGGTGTAGTGGTGCTGTCCACGGGCCTCAGGGTGACCCCAGGCCCTTGTGACGCTGCTGCCTTCGGAGGGTGAGGCGGCCAGGACCCACCCTTCTTCCGCCAAAGCCAGGTGCCTTCTGTCACTGGGTATTTCTGGGTGAAAGGGTCAGCACAGCCCACACCTGCTACCTCCGCTCGAGCAAGGGGTCCTTGTGCTGCCCGTAGGTGTGGACCCCAGCCAGACCGCCCCTCACTTGGCCGGGCTGCTGTCTTTTGACCGCCTGGCCTGGGTAGATGCGGGGGTCACTGGGACCCTGCCTCTTCAGACGTCAGACTCAGCAGTCAAGGTCAGGGCTCTGCAGGGTGGGGACACAGGACACAGGTCCCTCTGCCCTGCAGGTGAGTGCTGAGAAGAAGCTGACGGGCAGCACAGCGGGCATGCAGACCAGTGTGGAGACCAGCACCCTGCTCCAGGTGAGACGCAGGTGGGCCCTGGTGGGGACCACGCGTGTGGAGGGGTGCTTGCTGTGTGGGGTGAGGGGGACCATCCAAGTTAGTAAGGGGGGCTGTGCAGAGGGCGACCGTGCTGGGCAGCGTGGGAGGGACGATCCAGGGTAGTGAGGGGGACAGTGGGGGCGCTGTGCAGGCCGTCATGGGGGTGGGGACCATGCAGGGCGGGGCCAGGTGCCCACACAGTTGCTGTCTGAGGGGCGGAGCGCGCTCACACCATCTGCAAGAGTGCAGCCTCTGTCTCCCCACAGTACCGGGCAGCATCGGTGGTGCCGGCCCGCATGGCAGAGATGATCCGGTGCATCCGCGAGCGGGACTTCCCCGGCTTCGGGCAGCTGACCATGAAGGACAGCAACCAGTTCCACGCCACCTGCCTGGACACCTTCCCCCCGATCTCCTACCTCACTGACACCTCCCGGCGCATCATGCACCTAGTACACGACTTCAACACCCATCACGGGCAGACCAAGGTGAGGAGGCTCACAGGGGAGGGGGCTCACAAGGTGAGGGCGGCAGACCCTCTGTCTAAACACGAGTCTGTAGGAGTCCTGTGGCGTCTGAGGGTGGAGGACCTCGTCTAGTCTGAAGGTGGGGGTCCCTGCCTAATCTGATGGTGAAGTCCTGGCCTCGTGTTCCTGCAGTATGATTTGAGTCCTGGGGGCCCCCTTCTCGTGGTCCCTGTTCCCATCAGGGGAGCTGTACTGAGGGCCCAGAGTAGCCAGGTGGGCAGAGCCAGTGGGTGTCGGGTGGGCAGCCAGGCTGACCGCTGGCCCGCTCCAGGTGGCATACACGTTTGACGCAGGCCCGAATGCTGTGGTCTTTACCCTGGAGGACACAGTGGCCGAGTTCGTGGCGGCTGTGAAGCACTGCTTCCCCCCGGAGTCTAATGGAGACAAGTGAGGAGGCCCCAGTGCTGGGAGGGTGAGGGTGGGGTCTGCTGTGTGAAGGGAGGGGCCGTGGTGATTGGGGGTGGTTCCATTGAGGTACAGCTCCAGTGTTGTGCTTTGTGGGGGGGTCCTGAGGAGAGGATGCACCCTGCGCAGTGCGGAGGGGCAGTGGATAGGGAGGAGGGCTGCATGTGGTTATGGGGGTTTACTTCCAGTGTGCTGTGCTGTGTGGCAGGGTCCTGGGTGCAGTAGGGAGGGCACGTGAACACTGGGCCCAGAGGCCTGGAGACCCGCAGGCCTTCCGCTCCCGGGGGGTACTGGTCCTGCTGTTGCATGTGAAGGGTCACAGGCCTGCCCATCAGTAAAGGTCTTCTCACCCTGAGGCCAGAGCTGCTGGGGAAGTTCCAGGGTCCCCGCCCAGCACGTGGACCCAGTCACTCGTGACATCAGGGCCTCCTCAGTGTGCATCTCCTCCCTGGCCGTGTGGTGGGTGGAGGGTGTCTTCCGGAGAGGTGCTACAGAAGTGGGTGCTGCCTCTGAGCGGGGGTGGCTGAGGGCCTTCCTGTCTGCAGAGGCCCGTGGGGACGGGTCTGGGTGAGGCCTGCGAACCCTGGGCCAGCAGTGACCTGAGGGGAGCCCCTGCTGACTGCTGTGCACACCCAGGTTCCTGAGGGGACTGCCCATGAAGTCCGTCCCGTTGTCCGATGAGCTCAAGGCCACACTAGGCCTGGACCCGACCCCTGGCAGCATCCAGTACATCATCGTCACAAAGGTGGGTCCTGGTTCTGCAACCCTCGCCAGCGGAGGGGTCATCCCTGCTGCTCTCAGAGGCCTGATGGTGGGTGCTTTCTCCCCTCGCTCGGACCCGCCTGGGGAGGGCCAGGCTGAGGGCCAGGCCGGGGGCTACTCCATGGAACTGTAGGTCCTTCGGGAGGACTGGCTGACTCCCCCTCCGGTCCGGTGACGAGGCCTGTGGCTAGGTGCTGGCCCAGGAGAGGGGGCAACTCTGCCCTAGCTGCGGAGCGGTCCTGCACAGTGTCCTCCAGAAGGGGGTAGAGGGGTCTCTCCCTAATCTTGCAGCCTCTAACCTGTCCTCTGAGGCCTTCCAGCACCCGGAAGACCACAGACCGGGAAGTGGGGGTGCTGCCCTCACCCTCTGTCTGACCCTGTGTCCGTTCTTCTGCACCTAGGCAGGACCCGGGCCTCAAATTCTGGATGACCCTCTCTGTCACCTTCTGGGCCCCGACGGTCTGCCGAAGCCAGCCGCCTGACCACTGCCTGACCATCCCGATGGCCTCGCTGCTGGGCCCTCTGCAGCTCCACGCTGGCTGTGCGGGGCTGGGTCCAGACAAGCGGCGATCGTCTGCAGACTGCAGTGCTGAGATGGGACCAGAATCGGTGCGGAGGCCAGGGGAGGGGCTCCCCATAGCTCCGGACACGGCCTGTGGCACTGCCAGGTTGGGCCTGGTCTGCCAGCTGGCCGTGGAGGGAGGGCATGGAGCGGGGGCCAGTGAGGGTTTGACGCTTCACTCCCTGAGCTGGTAGTCTCTCGGGTGAGCATGAGGACTGCCCAGTGACCTGGAGGGGCTCCCCGGGCCCCTGGAGGCATCTCAGCATTGTGGGCTCACATGGGAGCTGCCCGAATTTGGGAATAAACGCAGTGCTGTCCACACCTGGGCTCTGGTCATTGCGCCAGCTGGAAGGCTGCACCCCCATGCTGACCAGCTCTTCTGAGGGGAAAGGGGCAGTGTGATGGGCCACACTGTCCCCACCAAAGGGGTCAGGCCAATCAACACCTCACTGCCCACCTGTGAGCTGGAGTGAGGTGAGCCGTAGTCACCCCCACAAAAGAGGCCCAGGTGGCCCCTGCCTGCCAGCAAGGCCAGGAGGTCCTTGGCCCAGGGCGGGTACTTGGGGCTGGCCTCACTAGCTGGTACTGACCCCAGTGGATGGTAAGCACCAGCAGGCACAGGGACATGTCCAAGTCCTCACAGGACAGAACGGACACAAGCTTTCCCCGGCCAGAGCCCACGGGTACCTCCACTCTACGGGTCCTTCCCCAGGGTCCCAGGAAGCCCCTGACTTCCACCGTGTGTCCACGGCTCACCACCCCTGGCACCTGCCCATGGCTGCTCCTACCTGTCCTGCCCCCTGCCCACCCCGGCATCCCTCCTCCCCGCATCCTCTGACATCCCCATCCATCCTGTCTTCTGTCCTCCCCCGCCCTCCTCCTCCTCCTCGGCCCCTCCCCCACCCCATCCCTCTGCAGAGGTTTGCCCGTATGACTATGACAGCTCCTGCCTCGTGATGGCTGGAGCCGCCCCTGGAGCTGCAGAAGGAAGCAGGCAAATAACCACACCACGCTGAGGGCATGGGGTCACCAGCCGGCACCCAAGTGTCCCCAAGAGCGCAGATTCAGGGTCGCTCTAACCTGGTGGCCTAGGCCGCAGGTAGCCTGTTGTGGCCACCTGTGCTGACCACGAATGAGTGGTCAAGCACCTCGGCAACCATGAAGTCCTGCCCCCCCCCAGGGACGTCCCACACACCCCATTTCTGGGACAACCACAGTGCAGACAGTGCAACGGGGTCTCAGCGCTTGTCACCAAGTAGCCCATCAATCAGACTGCAGCTTGGACGACAGGTTCGTGCGTCCTGGGCCAAAGGAGGAGGGGACGCCCTCCGGCCTGTGGGAGCGAGGGTCCGGCTAGAGCCGGGTGAGCGGCCCCCTCCCTGCCACGCTCTGTGGGGACCTCGCGCAGGTGGGCTGCCAGAACCCCCGGGCAGGCAGGGGCTGTGCCCCGTCAGGGAGGCGGGGCGGGACTGTTCCGGGGGGCGGGGCTGTCTCCTCATCGGGGGGCGGGGCTGTCTCATCGGGGGGCGGGCCAGGCGGGGCGGGCGGCGGGCGCCAGGTCCTGGTGGAGCCGGCAGGACGCAGAGCGGAGCAGCCGCCATGGGGCACATCGAGTGGGCCATGTGGGCCAACGAGCAGGCGCTGGCGTCGGGCCTGAGTGAGCTGGAGTGGGCCGCCGGGGTGGGGTCGGCGCCGAGGGCCGTCACTGTCCGTGGAGGGGAGGGAGTGGACTGGACTCCGAGATGGGGGCAGGAGCTGGGCGCGGGGAGTCCAGGGCCCCAGGGCTGCGGCTGAGACCCAGGGCCAGAAGGGGGACTGGAGGGTGGGGCGTCGGAGGATGAGCGAGAACGAGTCCCCGGGCCTAGACTGCGCGTGGCCCCCCCTGCACGACCTCCCTGCGGCCAGTGCGCCCCTCTTCCGCACCCTCGGACCTGGGCCCCCCGAGAGGAAGTTGCAGCTGAGGGAAGAGGCCTTTGGGGCGCCCGTGGTTTCCGGGGAGTGTCTGCCCAGCCTGGTTGGGAAAACCCGGCCTGATGACCGACCCCCCCAGGGCGGCCTGGAGTGGGGGCTGCGGCGCAGTGTGGACAGGGCGCCCCACCCCAGGAGCCAGTGAGGAAGGGGCCCTGGGCGTGCCTTACACCAGCGGAATCCCACTTCCTCCACTCCGGGCTTGTCAGTAGGGGGACACTCAGCTCGCCCCGCGTGGAAGAGGAAGCGCTGACCTGACCGCTGGTGGGGCTGGGCCTGCAACACGAGGAAGCCAACTGCACCCCCGCACCTGGACCTTCCGCCTGGAAGACCAGGGTGGGCCAGGTGCCCTGGCCTCGCGGTGTCAGGGAGAACGGTGGGGTCAGGGGTAGGCCACGTACAGCAGGCCTGCCACACTGCCCTCTGGGGGCTCCCTCCCTTGGGAAGCAGAGGTCAGAAGCAGCCGGTTCTGTTCCCATTAGTGTGCTCCCTATGCCCTGTGCCCTGGTCAGAGTCTGCACTGTTCTCCAGTGCCCAGCAATGGGGAAGTTGAGGCCCAGAGAAGCTGCCACTGCATCCGGGTTTCCTCATCAGCACGAGGACGCTGACGGAGGGGAGGGGACTGACAGATGGGAGGATGGCTGGCAGCTCTGTCCTGGAAAGGCTGGTCTCCCAAGCTTGTGCCAGGGACCTTATCCTGTCAGGGTCCTCTTACCTGCCCCTTCTCAGCTCAGTGTCACTGGCTCTCTCCTCCTGAGTCCCCTGCCACCTCTGTCCCAGCTGTGGTTCTAGCCCCCTCACCAGACCCTCTGCCCTCATGGCACAGGTCTGACGAGCCCACTGCTGGATCTCTGGCCCCATGGGGACTGCACTGCACAGGTGCCCCTGATGCTGGTCTCAGGGCCACAGGAAGCAAGATGGGCTCAGGACAGGAACCTGGTGCCCTAAAGCCCACAGCCTGCAACGTGCTGATGGGGAGCGCCAGGAATCTGGCCTTTCCACCTGACAGGACACTGACGGGTTCACCGAGTGAGTTAATGTGTAGCTGAGCTATGGACAAGAACCAGGAGTCCACGGTGCCGGAGCCCAGGACGTAGGACAAGACTCTGGGAGCAGCATGGGTATGGTTATCCTCAGAGGCTCGTGGACGACTGACCTCTGCTGGGCACCGTGTGAGTGAGGCCCAGTTGTCCTGCCACCCAGACTGGGTTCAGGACGAAGGTGGACACGTGGGGCGAGCATGGCCACGGGGCTCAGGATGAAGATGGAGGCACAGGGTGATCATGGGCCATGGGGCTCAGGACGGAGAGCGCGGGGCTCAGGACGGAAGCGGAAGTGCAGGGCGAGCATGGCCACGGGGCTCAGGATGGAAGTGGACACGTGGGGCGAGCATGGGCCACGGGGCTCAGGACAGAGGCGGACGTGCGGGGCGAGCACGGGCTGTGGTCTTGCGGTGCCCACTCACTGCAGGACCAGCCTCCAGAGAGTCTCAGGCAGCTCCGGAGGGACCTGACCCTCTGACATCCGCACATCCCTTGCATGCAGCTGGATCAACGCAAACCAGAACATCAGCAGCCGTGTGGCGAAGGAGGGGGCGAGGGCGTCTGCCCAGCCTGGGATGATGGGTCTGGGTTTGGCTGGACACCACAAGGGTGCACACGTGTGTGTATATGTAACTGTGAAATGACACCCTGATAATTACTGGGGGGATAACAGGATTTGTGGCCCCACAGAGCACACGGTGAACAAAGAGGAACCAGGAGGTGTGGTCACTGGGGAACCGCCAGGAAACCCACCTGCCCTTGAGGCCTGTGCAAAGGGAGCCCTGGTCATGCGGCAGTTAAAGTGTTTGTCTACTAAGCAAAGGACAGCGGTTCAAGCCCAGCTGCCGCTGTGTGTGGGGAGGTGACGTGGGCCCCCAGGGGCAGTCCAGCCCGTCCTCCAGCGCTGTCGGCGGGTGCTCTGGGTTCCGGACTTTCTGGAGGCGAGCTGCCTGACGTCCGATGTGTTCGGCCCCCAGCGCTTGGCGGTGCTGTTGGGCTTCGGGAACGCGAGCGCGGGTAACGTGGTCCCGGGGCTGGAACTGAGCGGGGTGAGCACGCTGTGCGAGGGAGAAGGCATCCCTGACACAGATGCAGACATTGGTCGCACGGGGACACGCCTGCAGGTGCACAGAGCCAGGACACAGTGGGGTTGCAGGTGAGGGGGCCTGCGGGGGGCCCTCTGCTTCAGCGCTCCTGGGCCCATCCTCACCCAGCCGCCTTGCAGGGAATATCGTTTCAGTCCTTGGTGCTCAGCTCAGACTTCCCTGCCTAACTTAACTACGCCGTCACACCCACCCCATTATCTACAGGGTCTGCACGGTGGTCCCCTTCCTGGCCAGAGGTCAGCAGTCATGTAGACGGGATAGAGGCCAGCTCTGTGGTGGACTGGCCACGGTGGGGGGCCGCATGGTTGACCAGCTCCTACTAACTCGCTTCCTCTCTGTCCATAGTCCTCATCAGCGGGGGCATCGTGGCCACTGCTGGTCAGTTCACCCAGTGGTATTTTGGGGCATACTCCATGTATCCTTGTCTGCAGGGGCCACCGAGCTTGGGCACCTGGGGGTGGGCAGGGAGGGTACAGGCAGCAGGGCTTGGGGTGATGTCACTGCCCCTGAGATGCGGCAGCCCTCGGATTGCAGGACATTTCCGCCCTTGAGTTGGTATTCCGCACGGGGGGGGGGGGGCAGTGAGGAGGGGGAGATGGCTCAGCAGTCATTGGAGGGTTCTGTAGTTCTGTAGGACAGCACAGGTTTGCAGGGTCACTAGAAGTCACACTTGGGGACACTTGACAGCAGTTCACAGCTCAGGGGGACAGGGCCTGTCCTCCTTCACTTGACCCAGGCTGGATAGTGTCCTAGGCTGGCCCCTGTCCTCCCCTCCCTCTCCCCCAGCCCTGTGCATGCCCCCATGAGAAGTTGGGGCCAGGCTGAGGGGTAAGAGGTGCTGCCTGAGCCGAGGTCCGGCCCGTGTACCTCGCAGGCTCCACCGTGGCGCTGGCCAGCAGCTCCTTAACCCCATACTCAGTGTTGCGGGGGCCCTGGTCTGCCTGCTGGAGTATCCCCGCGGGAAGAGGAAGAAGGGTACCACCATGGAGCGCTGGTGAGTCCTGCTGTGGGGTCAACTAGGGGTCTGAGGTCCGCTCACGTGCACCCCAGCTGTTCTGCGGGTCATCCATGGGTACAGAGAAAGGTCCAGGAGGTCACGGGACCCATTTAGGTGTTGTGGGGTGCATCCAGGGATTCTCCTGTGGATCTTTGGGTCTGTCTGGATCCAGGGCCCAGGTAGAGCAGGACGCCTGGCCACGAGCCCCTGTTGGAGCCTGGTCCCTTCCCTTTGAAGCCCAGGCACCTTCCCGCTTCTCCCCTTGGGTAAACAGGCTGCATGCCTGCCCAGCTTCTGCCCTGTGTCCCGGGGCGGGGGCTGTTCCGGAGTGGACTGGCAGTGGCCTCACTGTCCCCTGCCCTTTACCTACCCAGCGGACAGAGATACATGACGCCTGTCGTGAAGATGTTCGGCCCGCTCACCAGGAATTACTATGTCCGGGCCTTCCTGCACCTGGCGTGAGTTCTCTCCTGTGCCCCCACTCTGGAAGCGACCAGTCCAGTGGTGACCTGGGCAGGAGACCATGGCCCCGTCCAACCCTCCTGAAACTGCATTCTTCTGACAAAAGCCCAGAACCGCTGGCCCAGCCCCAGTGGCAGGATGCTGGCGGCCACAACTCGGGGACTGCTGGCCCCAGTGGGCGGTTCTCGGCTCTGCTGCTGTCCTGTGCCACCATGCCATCCTCACTGAGCAGGGAGGGCTCTCACCCCCACGAGGGGCCCTTCACAGCTGCTTGGCTTTATTCCCAGCATGGTGACTATCCCAAGCGCAGCTGTGGACAGGGCTGGGCGAGGGGAAGGGCTGGGCGTCCCCCTGGTCTGGGCATCTCCCTGGTCTGGGCATCTCCCTGGTCTGGGCGTCTCCCTGGTCTGGGTGTCCCCCTGGTCTGGGCATCCCTCTGGTCTGGGTGTCCCCCTGGTCTGGGCGTCCCCCTGGTCTGGGCATCCCTCTGGTCTGGGCATCTCCCTGGTCTGGGCGTCTCCCTGGTCTGGGTGTCCCCCTGGTCTGGGCATCCCTCTGGTCTGGGTGTCCCCCTGGTCTGGGCGTCCCCCTGGTCTGGGCATCCCTCTGGTCTGGGCATCCCCCTGGTCTGGGCATCCCTCTTGTCTGGGTGTCCTCCTGGTCTGGGCATCACTTGGTCTGGGTGTCCCCCTGGTCTGGGTGTCCTTTGGTCTGGGCGTCCCCCTGGTCTGGGGGCCGTGGAACGGCGTGTCTCTGTGGAGTTTTACCCTGAGACCCTCAGCTCCTGGGCTCTTTCCAACCATCCTTCCTGCTGCCCCTCCCCTTCCCAGGCTGTCCTTGCCCGCTGGTGTCCTGCTCGCCACCATCCTGGGGACCGCCTGCTTGGCCATCGCGAGTGCCATTTACCTGCTGGTGAGTGCTGTTTGCTGTGCCCCCCCCCCCGATCATCTCTCTGCTGACCCCTGACCACCCCTCTGCTGGCCCGGGCAACCTCAGCCGTGTCGGCCCTTGGGGGTCTGTGCTGGGGTGCCCCCTCATTAGTCTGCCTGTGCTGGGCACCCCCTACACAAACACGGAAATGCAGAGCCACACGGCCAGGCCAGGATCAGATCCCCTTGACGAGGCTCAGTCCTCTACACCCCCTTTTCCTGACCTGAGGGTGGGGGTAGGGGGTGGTCCCAGACCCCACTGTTAACCAGATAGTACCCTGTGCCTGTGACGTAAGGACACAGCCTCACCTCATGTTAGAGGATGCTGTGTGAGGAAGCGTCTTAGAAAACGTCACCTGTGAGGCCGGAGGACACGGCCTGGAGAGGCCCCAGGCCTGGCTCTGGGTGAAGTGTGGGGGTCGACCCAGGAGCCGGGGCACAGAGGGGTGCAGAGCCCCTCCACCATGGGGGTGTCCCCAGCACCTGTCTGGGCTGGGTTTCTCTGCATCCCTGTGAATCGTTTGTCTGCTTTGTGTTTATATAAATGGAGGTGTGTTTCAAGCCTTGTCCGTGTGTCCCTCTGCCTCTCACTTTCAGTCCCTTCTGTGTGCACTCACTCACTTTCTCTCTGACGGCTGGGGAGCCCCCACATCTCCCCTCTGCACCCTGCATCCCAGCTCTCCATTTCCACATGCAGACCTGATCTTAAACATCCAGGATTCAGTCTGGGAGTATCAGCTGGGCGTCCTGGCCACTCCCCTGCGTGGGGGGGTGACAGAGGTCACCAGGCTGATGGGCGGGCTAATAGTGACATGCACCCTGTGCTGCGTTCTGAGTGGTCACTTGCCTCCTGCCAGAGAAATGCCTAAGCCAGTCAGCACGCAGTGCTGGCCCTGTGCCTGTGGACTGGCTACTTCTTAACTAACACTGGATTTTGCCCTCTGCACCCATTCCCAGTTGCCCCCTTCCCCAGGAACTACTTTCTTAAACGTAGTATGCACATTTTAATATTTTTTTAAATAATGTTTTAAAAGGATGACATACTGGTGCTTTCCAAGGGACTTGAGTAAGGAGCAGTTGGCAGACACAGAAGGTGCAGTTTAGAAAAGGCAGTAATCCGAGCTCAGGATGGCTCTGCTGGCTCCTCAGTTCTGTCCTTGAGCCAGAAACCAGAAGTTCGCCTGTCTGCTTTACGCTTTCCCGAAGTCCCCTCTGTCCCTTACTTATAAAGGTGTGTCCTTACATCTTCTGTCAACTCGATTCGGGGTAGCATCTTTTGGCTCTTTCGTGGGGTGAGGTCACAGATGTCCACTTGAACAGCAACCCCGAGCTGGCGAGTGGGTGTCTGCCACAGCCCTCAGGCCAGAAGGGGTGCCCTGAGAGCGTGCCTGTCCTCAGTTCTGTCTGGATGGAATATTAGATACGAATACTCCAGCGCCCCGCCCGCCGGCATGGGGACCCAAGTCTGTATTTTTAGTTAGTCCCTCTCAAACCCCCTCAAGTAGAAAGACACACACCCGCCACCTCCAAAACACCTGCCCCTCCTCCAGGCGGCCATCCGAGGGGAGCAGTGGACCCCCATCGAGCAGAAGCCCCGGGAGCTGCCACAGGTGGGCGGAACCATCAAGCAGCCGCCCACTAACCCCCCGCCACGCCCCCCAGCCGAAGCCCGCAAGAAGCCGAGTGAGGGGCAGGAGGAGGATGCAGCCATGGGGGGCTCCCCAGGCGGTGCCCAGACCAACCCCCTCCCGGTGACCGATGAGGTGGTGTGACTTCACAAGGGGAGGGGGCGAGGTGCCCACGCCCTCCAGCAATAAATGAATGAACCCTTCTAAGTGAAGTGTGTGGGCATCTTTGGACAGCAGGGGAAATCAGCCTCCAGGCCCCTGTGCGCCCCTTCCCCTGCGCCATCGCGTCAGAGGGAGCCCTGTCCCATCACAGGCGATGTTTTTGGTTCTGCCCAACACATGAGAAATTGTGTGCACCTGTATTCCACCAGGCACCAAACCCGCCTTCGAGGGCCTCCCTGACCCCAGAATCATCCAAGGGGAGTCTTCTGGGGGAGCAGGTGAGATGCCCCTTGTCCACCTACATGAGGGCCTGGGAGGTTCTGTGGTGAGTTTCACCTGGAGCTGCTAACTGGAGGGACCCCTTGAATACCTCAGTCACAGATGACCCACTCAGGGTGGCTTTGTTGTCCTAGAGGGGACTGTGGGGGTTTAGCACACAGAGACCCCAGCTGGGTCCCCTGGGCTGTGACCAGCAGAAGGCTGGGCATGTGGGCATCCAGCCAGGGGCACAGTCCCCCCCTCCAGTGACCCTCTCTGCTCCTGGGCTCCATTTGCGCCTTTCCACACTGAGAACTAGGGACTCTCGTGGTGGATTTGGGTGGACCTTGACTCTGTCAGCCTCCACAGCCCAGGGTCACAAGTGAGCCCTGTCCAGACACAAGGTACCATGACAAGGACCAGGGGAGAGCTGCATACCCCTTCCTGTCCCTCCTGCCCCCCCTATCCCCGATCTCCACCTTGCCCATGCCTCACCTCCAAGGACCCCAGGGCAGACCCTCTGCACCCAGTATCCACTGCTCTTGCTTCACCTTGGGGACCCCCCCCCACTCACCTGGAAGCTCTGTGTGGACTGTCCCATACCTGAGCCTGGACGCCACCTGGCTCCTTGGAACTCTGCTGGGATGTGCCCAGCTCTGCCCACCACCCTGCATGTCCATCCCTCCCCAGTCACTGTCATGGGTGTGCCCAGAGCTGAGGGCAGGGCAGGGCCAGCAGTGTGTCCTGGGCGCTGGTCAGCTGGTTAAGCCACAGGGCCACATCCAAAGAGACACTGAGCCTCCTTGGCCTGTTGGACTGGTCACTTTGTGGGTCTCTATCAAAATGCCCTGCAGTGGTCATGCCCAAAAGAGCTGCAGCCCAAAGGTCCCCAGAGTGTGTGTCTTGCTGCCCAGTGAAGCCACCTGGACATGGCAGATCCCCACAGAGGTCAGGAGCCCAGGGAACTGGCCAGCACTTACTGGGCCTGAGAGCAGCACTGGGATTCCCTGTGAGGGCTGGCAGAGGGGGTGACGCTCATCTTCCAGTAGACCTTTCTGGGCTGACCCAGTCCCAGTTCCTAAAGACTCACGTGGACCTGCTGGCCAGTGAGGTTGGCCCAGCACAACCTTCCCTCTGTCAGTGCACAGAGATTTCTGGAAGCATGTGCTAGAATCTTGGGCTGATGTCAAGGTGAGAGGATCAGAGGTAAGAGTGAGGGTGAGGGAGGCCATTTCACCAAATCAAAAACACCCTGGCGATGGCTGGGGACTTAACGAGACACTCAAGTTGAAAATGAATAGAAACAGTTTATTACAAAAATAGAGGGGCGCCTTATTCCTCATGGACTGAGGAAACGTGGTGTGACCTGACCAGCGACAGGGCGGGGACCCGAGACCCGGCTCCATCTGCTGTGAGGGCATTGTGGACAAAGGGGTAGACTAGGGCTGGGGCAGCGCATGGTCTCCCAGAGGCACCTGCGCTGCCCCCACCTCCAGCCATAAATAACCAGGCGGATATAAATAACCAATAAATACGCATAAATAGGGCGAGCTGCTTGGGGGACCCAGCTGCAGCCCCTCGAGGGCGCCTCCCACCCCCGTGGCGCGCAGCGAGCCGCTCAGCGCGCCCACCTGGGCACCACGCAGGTGCAGCCCACCGGCACGCGGATGAACTCGGCGTGGAAGGCCACGGCTCCGGGCTGGGGGCCGTGCGCGCCGTCGGGGGCGCACGGGCGGCGGCGCAGCACCAACAGGCTCTGGGACAGCTGCACCGAGTTGAGCGCTGACGTCTCGCCGCCCGTGCGCGCGTTGATGCAGCCGCGGCACAGGCACTCAGCGAAGGCGAGCTTCTGCGGGTAGCGGTTCTCGTCGGTGTCTATGCTGCGGGCGGAGCGGGAATGAGGTGAGTCGGCGCTCTGGCGCCTGCCTCTGGGACCCCATTCCTGCCCCTGGCACCCCACTGTAGCCCCAGCGCCGCGGAGGTAGCTGCGCCAGTCGTCTCATAAATGGCGGCGGTCACGGAGCCTGCGCTGCCCTCCCAGAGCACAGAATCAGAGGAGAAGCGCCTCCAGGGTCTCCCGCTCCGTCCCCACCAAGCCTGGTCCCCAGAGAGGCTCAAATGGGGCAGGCAGAAAGCCCTGGAGCACGGAGCAGGAAGGAGGCAGAAGGAGGGCTCATTGGCAGGTGAGAACTCTGAGGGGCAGTGCGCCCCAGAGACGGTCAGCTCACCGGTATCTCCAGGGCGAGATGGAGCGCTGGTGGATGTCTGCTGCCAGGACCTGCTCTGCACGAAGCACTGGGCACTGGGACCTGGCTGGGGACCTGTGGTGACGTCTCCTCCGGGCAGCCACCTCCAGGCTGGACACCAGGGTCACGGGCAGGGACTGCTCCCACTTGGCGCTTCGAGCCAGCAGGTGCCGAGGAGGCAGGCCCAGGGGCAGCTCGTCGGGGGTGTAACATCGAGTGGTGGTGAGTGTGGAGTGGGGGGTCCCCCAAACTAGTGGGGTGTCGTGGTCGGCCAGGCTGACTGGCAGGCAGAGTAGAAGCAGGAGGCTAGGGAGGTTCTGGAGGACAGATGGTGGTCAGGGGCCAGGCCAGGGTCACCCTTGCCCCACCAGCCCAGCTTGCTGGGGACCCTGGAAAGGTGACCTTTCCTGCACAGATGGACCCTAAGGGCCATACTTGCCCCCCAGCACCCCACTTAGGTCTAGGTGCACTGGCCCCACCTCCCCCACATGGGGGGGACACCTCCTGGCAGGCATCTCAATCACCCTGAGGTCAGTGAGGCCCATGGCTGTGGGAGCCGGGTCCCAACGAAGCTCACCATGGGTGACGCAGGGTACGGTGGCATGGCTGTGACTGGCGCCGCCTGGAGTGAGCACACCTGGGGCAGGACCTGGCCACTGGGCTCCTGGCGCTCTTTATAGCTGAGGCCACACCTGGGGAAATCCAGGTGCTGCCCGGCTTCCTCCTGGGAAGTGCCCGCCATGGGCTTCCTCCTCCAGGCCAGCGCCCACCCCCACTGCATCCCCACAGCCAGTGACAGAAAAGACCAGGAAGCCGGGGTCCACGTCACCGGAGTCACCCCATTCTGCCCTTGCCACTGTCCCAGCTGCACACCATGTTTTCTAGGAGCGACTTCAGGGAGCATCCTTCCAGACACCACCTCTGTTGTCCTGCATTTGGAGGCCTCCAGCCCATTTGCATGCTTCCTGCAATGGGAGACTCACCACCTGTAGTTGGTCTGCCTTAAGTTTGTGACATAAGACACACAAGAGAAACGAAGGTGCACAGCCCACGTGGCTGCAAACAGGTCTCATGAGTTGGAAAATGCCAGCCCAAAGCCACGGGCTGCAGGGTGTGCCCTCTGGGGTGCTGCAGCCTGTTCCCGGCCTCCGGGCCTTGTCTGTGTCCCTCTGGCTTGTCTCTGGCTCTCCCAAGGGCCTGTTGGTGGGTTCAGGGCCCGACAGGAAAGTTGACCTCAAGGTCGACTCCCTCACTGATGACACCTATGGATCCTTGTGTTTGTTTTTTTTTTATTGTATTATTTTTACGTGTACCGCCAAATCAGATCTGACTGGTACAGGAGATTGCCCCCTCCTTCTCTAGCAGAGAATCTGGTGGATTTGAACCGTGTACCTCTGGGAGCCTGTGGATCCTTGGAAACAGAGCTTGGGGCAGGGTGTGCACATTCCTGGGGGCTGTGGAGTCCGCCCACTAAGGGCCGGCCCAAGACTGCGTTCCTCAGCATCTGCTCCTGCAAGCACCCCCAAGGATCCCTAGAATTTCCAGCCCCAAGGTGGACTTGGTCCAAGGCAGTGGTGTCCCTGCTGGATGGGGCCGGGTCAGCGTGAGTGTCCATGATAATGCGGGGGGTGAGTGAATGAGGAGGTGAAGGTAGTGTATGTGGGGTGCATTCTCTCTTCTAGGAAGAGTGGGTTCCTTGGGGGTGTGTGTGGGACAAGGTGGGGTCAGCTCACGCTCATATGGTCCCATGGCTGCTTGCCCAGCCCCCATCCTCTGGGGGGAGGCAAAGCGATGGGCCCAGGCTCTGACACAGTAAATGTGTAGTCAATGTGGCGGTCTGTTCAGGGGAGTGACAAGGTCCTCTGAGACCCCTGACCCACTTGGAGCTACAGCTGGTGGTCATGTTGGTCAGTCTGTGGAGGCTTAGGGGACTTCCAGGCTGATGGGGGGGGGGATGCTGGGCCAGGAGGGGAGGAGACAGGGTGGTGGAAGGATGCCAGCAGGAGGCCACATCAGGGCCTCATTCTTACGGGCAGCTAGGCCAGAAGCCCTCATTGGGCAAGACTGGAAAGGCAGTGTGGCAGGGTGACTGGAGGGCATCGTGGAGGTGGCTTGTGGACTGGCCCCACCCCTCCCCACCCACGAGTGTCTCCCAGGCCTCATCCTCTCCCAGGGCAGGTGGGAAGGCAGGAGGGCGGGGGGAGTACCCGGGGGTGGGCAGGCCCTTGGCTCCACACCCCGCTGGCCTGGCTGGACAGGAGGGTGGCGTGATGGAAGTGTTTCTCCTTTCCTGTGAACTGGAGGACCTGCTATTTGCACCTCAGCACTGGACTGAGTTAGGGTGTGTACTGCGTGAGCCAGCCCGGTGTCTCTGCCTGGATCCAGCATGTGATGGACACTGCGGGCCTCTGTGCCATCTAGGCAGGCTAGAAAGCAGCTGGACCTTCTCTCTTCTCCAGGGCCAGGATGACCTCTGTCCCCACATCACGTCTGCACTGGGGGTGTGGGTCAGGGGCTTTCCCGAAGGGAGGGTGAGGTGACCATGGGGCTGGGCCTAGAGCTGTGGGGAGGGTGTCCTGTGGCCAGCACTGCCTGCTTACACCGTGTGGAGCTGACCCCCAATGTCCACCTCAGGGACACCGCATCCATGCTAGGGGCAGGCACGCACACGTCTCCAAGAAGGCCAGGACAACTGTTTATCAAAATATTTTATTTACGAGACCTCTCAGAAAAGACGCCCAGGTGAGCCAGACACCCCGGTGGTGCCCCGGCCTGCCTCCTTTTTGGTCTTTTCAGTGTCCTCTGCTTCAAATCAACTAAAACAATTTGATGCTTAAAACAAGAGAGGAGGAGCTGCTTTCCAATCAGACTTCAGTCGAGAATGTCTAGTTCCTTCTGATCCTGGGTAGGCGAGAAGGGAGAAGCTGAGTGGGCCCCGAGGCTCCACGGGAGGTGGGCAGCGCGGCGCGGACAGAGCCACAGTCAGAGGACCGGAGCAGCGGGGACGCCTGTCCGGGATTCATCGTTTACAGGCCCCGGTGCAGCGTGCGAGCCGCCTGAGCCAGGTGGCGTCTCGCCTCACGGACCGTCTGTCCTTCTCTCCACCGCAGGACTCTGCTCCTGGTCAGTCTTGTGGGGGCGGCTAGGACTCAGCGTCTTCATCAGTTTTGTGGCTTCCTTTCCAGCTGAGGAACTTTTTTAATCTTTTTATAATTTTTAAAAAGAACTGCAGCCAAAGACAGACCTTAAACCGCAGAATCCAAAGGCCGCACTCCCCTGCTCCGGAGCCCGTCCACCGGCTACGCCTTGCCGGGGATCTTGGCTCGCTTGCGGGCGATGGCATCCTCCACGGCCTTGAGCTGCTTTAGCAGTTCCTCGCGCCGTGACAGCGTGCTGGCCTTGGCTGCCTTGGGGCCGGGCGCGCCGGGGGCGTCCGCCTTACCAGGCACGCTGGTCACCTTGCTGGAGCCCTTGGCCTGTGGTGACAGCTGGCGCTTCCTGTGGGGTGGGGAGCAAGGACATCTCGTGGGCGGACCCCCCCAGGTGGCAGCGCTGTTGAGGTACCACTCCCCGGCCAGGCTCCCACAGAGCCGTGTCTGACACAGTCCAGGTACGCTGCTGGCCCTGGCCCTCCCCTGCACACCTGTGGTCTAACTCACCTGTCAGGCTGTGTTGAGGGGGCTTTTGGGTTCTGTCCTCTCTGCCTCTCAGGCTTCGGGGAGCCAAGCCTGCCCCCTGATTTCCGGTCGCGGGAAGCTGTAGTGGGGCAGAGGGGTGTCTGTGAACACCTGTCAGGGGAGTCCAGCACCCCCAGGCCCCTCACTGCTGTTCAGGTCAGGGCCTTCTCCTGTCCTGGTGGGTCAGGGGCCTTTGGTCAGCTCGGATTCAGCCCTGTCTGGAGCCACGATGCCTGACATTCCCTGGTGATACTGCAGCCTGTGGCCCCCCCAATGCACAAAGGGTGCCGGACGATGTGGCAAGAGACAGGAGCAGCCAGCACTCGAGAGGAGGGACACAGCGCACAGGTGTGGACTCCCCGCCCCCCACTGTGGCACAGCACGCCGACCAGGGCAGCTGTCCACGCTCACCTCGGTCTGGCGACAGGGTGGCCCGCTTGGCTGGAGGGGGGCTGGGCCGGTCCTTGTCTAAGGGCTCGTAGCGCTTCCTGCCTGCTTTATCCGAGGCCTGAGACAGAGAAGTTGGAGGTCAGGATGACAGGTCGGGCCATGCTGGGACTCCGTGAGCCCTGCACGGTGCCGCAGCGCTGTGCACCCCACAGCAGAGTCGGGAGAGAAGTGCTAGCCCCCCAGGGTGATGCCTCTGTGGCAGTCAGGCTTCTGCTACAGGACCTTGGACCTGAGGGAGGGGATCCGGCTTTGAGCCCTCAATCACTCTGCAGACCCAGGCGTGGCTCAGAATAGCGGGGCCTGCACCTTCGGGGCCAGGGGTTAGTACGTGAGATGCCACCTCTGACCCCAAAGCCCTCGCTCCTGGGGCCTGGGCAACTGCCTGTCCATGCAGCCTGTGGCCAGCACACAGGTCCTTGCACAGCATGGACACTGGGATCCAGCTCACCTTGTTGAGCAGTGTCAGCTTGATCTCCTTGTGGGCAACGAACGTGGCCGGGGCAGGCTGGCCTGGGGGCGCCTGCTGCGGGGTGGAGGGCTGCTGTGAGGACCGGGCGCCTGCGGAGGGCTTGGCGGCCTTGGTGGGCTGTGCGGAAGAGTCCCTTTTCCGCTTTTCCTCTTTAACACCATCTTCCTTTTTAGCTTTTCCTGCTGAGACATAGCCCATCACTGGCTGTGCTGACGTCTGCTCTGTCCGCCTTGCACTGCCGGCACAAGGCCAGGCTCCTCAAGAGGGCGGAGCCAGGGAAGCACCACATCTCCCCGCTGCTCAAGGAGACCCACGACTGGCCGGTACCTTTTTCCTTCTTGCTCTGGGCAGGGGTGGGGGACCGTGAGCTGGCTGAGGACACAGGGCTGGCCAAGTCAGCATACATGTCCTCCGAGTCCACGCTGGGCACTGAGCTGCTGCTGGACGTGGCACTGGACACGGAGGAGACACTGCTCACGCTAAGGGACCTACAAGCACAGATATGGAGTGAGGGATGGACAGCAGTGACAGGTAGGGGCCACAGCCCGGCAGGCCTCAGCTCTGTGGACATGGGTGGGCACCGGTGCCTGGTGCTGAGCATGGTACACTGCTCCTTGAAGGGAGGGACACTCCGGTTGCCAGGACAGGAAGTGACTAAGTAGGTGGTGACGACAGAACTTAGAAGTATGTGGCTGAAGTAAACACACAAAGGCCAACAGCCACCTAGGACGAAATGAAATGGACACCAGGCCTTGCAGGAGTGGATGTGGCCTGATGGTGTCGGGCTAGCTCGCTGTCCTACTCGGTTCAGTCTGGACACAGCTGTCCCGCCAGCAGAGCCTCAGCTGCCCAGAGCGAGAGGGGTTCCTATCTGGTGGGTCTCTAAGGCCCTGACCGGGGTAGGGACCGGGGTGACCTGGACAATGACCTGGATCTCGAACTTGAGCCGCTGTAGCTGCTGCCGCTACCACTGCCGCTGCCGCTGAGCGTCCGCCTGTAACACGGGGGGCCACCAGTCACCCAGACTCCCGGCCATGTGTGGATACACCGGCCACATGCAGCCTAAGCGGCCCCCCCAGAGCACCCCCAGCAGGAGCCCCAGGCCTCACCTCCTCGGGGGCGTCCTTGCCTGCCGCTCCTTCCTCCGAGCTTCCCTAGGGTCCCCGGGCTTGGCGGGCTCAGGGATGGGGGCAGTGGTTTTGGTGGCCGGAGGCAGGGCAGGTGGTGGTGGGGGCTTCTTCAGCAGCTTTTCCCTGTGAGATAGAAGGTCAGGCGCCGCATTGCCCAGTGACCCTGGCAGCTCAGGACACGGGGCCAGTGACGGCTGCCTGGGGACCGGGAACATGCTAGAACTCCGTCCACCTGGGCCTTCCGGGGCCTGCACACTGCCCGCCCCCCGGGTGTCTCCTTGGGGATGCTGACACGCAGGAGCGCCGCGACGGCCTGCGGGCAGGCGTGACATCTTGGTGCACACATGTGCTGAGACTCCACACCGGGCTGGGTTTCCAGTAGCTGTTCAGGCTCCAGATCTTTCTGTCACTGGCCCAGTGACAGGTGGAGCAGCTGACGCTGGCCATGCAGCCCTGACCCGGCTGGAGCTCGCGGGCAGGGGGCCAGGACTCACCCCGCTTTCCCCGGCTGCGGGGCTGGCTCCCCCTTGGCTCTGATGGTGGGCCTGTGGGGGGACGGTGTTGGCGATGGAGACGGCGATGAGGAGAAGGAGCGGGACCTGGGGGGACAGGCATGAGGTGCTGCTGACACCATCCCACGGTGTCATTTCTAAAAGGGCATCCCACGAGCAGGAGGGCAGCTGTCACGGGGTCCCTGAGTGATGTCTCTGTGGCCAGCAGCGCTTCAGGGAGACAGGCGTGGCCTGTGAGCTGCACAGGATGCCGCTGCTCGAGGGGAGAGGCTTGGTGACGGTGGGAGGCCCCACACTTCTCCCGCACGTACCTGGAGCGGCTGCCTGAGAAGGAGCTGTGTCTGGAAGACCGGCTGGAGTAGGAGCTGTAAGACGAAGACCTGGAATGGGACCGTGACGAGCCGGAGCCGGAGTAGGAGGATGACCGTGAGGAGGACCTGCGATCGAGGAAGGGAGTCAGGAGGACCACGCCCACATGTACCCACGGGCAGCGTGCCCTGTGACAGCCACTGAGCGAAGTGCAGCCCTGCGCTCTGATGAGGCTGCTGGAGGCTAGTGCCGTGGACCCTTCTCGGGTCCAGGAGGGCTCCCGCAGCCAGCTGCCCACGGGGCACAGACCGTCCTGACAGGACCCGGGGGCTCCCACAGTCAGCTGTCCATGGGGCATAGACCATCACTCCTAAGTATGGCCGCCCGCCTGCCCGCCCACAAGCTGCACTCCAGGATCTCTGCGGAGTGGACTTGGGGTGCAGGCCCAGATCTGGGATGACTGTGTGATGCTCCTTCCCATCACCCCAGTTCCGACTCAGCAGTGCTGGAGAGTTGTGGGAAGGAGTGCCCACTTCCCTCAGTCTGCTCAAGTCTCCTAATCGCAGGCCACACTTCACACCGACCCGTGGGGACTGCTGGTCCGCTCCAGTGGCCAACCCCATGTCTAGTCAGGACACTGGCCTTGCGGCGTGGCCATGGGACCCATTCTGGCCTGGGGCAGGCCGCTCTTTGTCCCTATGGTCACCACCACCACAGCCCGTCTGACTGTGCTGACAGCCCTACCTGGAGGAGTTGGAGGCAGAGGCTGACGAGGCCGATGTTTTTCGACGCCTTCGTGCACGGCTGGGGGAGACCGACACCCCAAGTTTCTTCTTGGGAGACTTGGATCGGCGCCAAGGGTCTTTCCACTCATCTGCCCGCTTCACCTGAGGACCTGCAGATGCAGCCTCCTTCTTCAGGGGCTCAGTTTGCCGGCTGTAAGACAGCAGATGTATCAGTGCCTGACTGGCAGCCACCACCACGGATCACACCAGGCCTGGATCGCAAAGCTCCCTGCCCAGGAAGTCTCAGAGTACAGAAGCCAGCAGACACTGGGCCACTGCACCCCATGATTCTATCAAGTTCCCCCATGGCCATACTCTCCCATGTCAGGAAGGGGGGCAGCGTAATCTAGGACAGCAGAGGACAGCGCATTGACCAGACAGGACAGGAGAGCAGGGGTCTGCGCACACCGACCAGACAGGACAGTAGGGTCACCTATTCCACCTGGTATCGAAGAGGTGACGACGCAGGGTTTTACGTCAGGTAATGAGCGCTCCTGCCTCATCCATGTCTTCACGCGTTCAGTTCAGAAAGCCCCCCTATCCTGTTCATACCCCCACTGAGTTTCCTTCTTTGTAACTCCTTTCTCTCCCCTATGGGACCCCTTCCTCAAGGGACACCTTGTGAGATGGCTTCACGCAGAACTACCCCTGCAAACGGCCTCCCATGGGTGGACCCATCTGCTGTGGCCCCGATGCACCTTAACCACGTGCACTTACAACCTACAGTCTTCCCATAAACTCACTGCACCGAGCTCCACGAAGCGGTGAACTAAAGAGCCTCGGTCACTTCATAGGCATCAGCCCCCCATTTTCTGCACAAGAGATCCTGCTTTCCCTCAGCGCACAGGAACCTCCCCGCCTCCGAAGAAACTCCTGAGTGAGGACCTGCCTGCCTAGAATGAAGCCTCCCAAGGCTGACCCACTTCGTCTGGTCAGCCCCATGGCCTGCTGTGCCCACAACTCCAGGCAACGTCTTGAATGAGCCAAATTCAGACTCTGCTCTTAGCCAGTGACCCCAGAGCCACAGCACGCTGCCTCCTCCCACCTGGCCACCAGACAGGCCCTCCCCTTCCTGCTCCCTGTGTGAGACCCAGCAGAATCCTAGCACCGTGGTCCCTGGTCGCATCACAGAACAGCCCTCTCAGCCTCCTAGCACAGGCGAGCGTGGCTGGAAAACCCAGCCGTCCCCTGACAGCTGCCCTGTGCCTGGTGGCCGGAGCCTGTCCAGTGTCGCCCAGGGGCATCTTCACTTGCCCTCTCCCACCTGGGCAGGTGAGGCTGGTGCCATGGTAGGCCTGGCACTGGGGCAGGAAGAAGACAGGTGAAAATGAAGAGACTCAAGATGGAACATGAACGGTAGTCAGTTATTTAGAACCAAGTGCCTACAGACTCAGGTGGAAGTAGTGACGGGGATGGGGATGGAGCACAGGGTACAGGGACGGGGTGATCCTCTCCCAGACTCCAGGAACTAGGGGGTCGTCCAGGGAGAGCAGGGATTCGGGGAAGACTGGTGCTGAGCAACCAAAGCGGCACTCGGGGAAATGTCCACGTAGCACTGGACACGGCCCGAGTCAGGTGACCAGACAGGGAACGAGGGGTCTCCATGTGCCCACAGGGAAAGGACCCCCACTGTTCTAAGAACACTGCCATGACGACACATGGCCCAGGACAGACTCTGAACTCTGGTTCCTGAGGATTACGTGCCCTATGGGGCCCAGGGTCCCTGAGCAGGGACCTCCACACGACAGCTAAGTGGCCACAGTGGTAGGGGTATCACTCCCAGCTGGTCTGCAGGCTTCAATCAACACCTGCATGCACAGGGGTCAGCTGGACTTGGACTGGGTACTGGAGGGAGGGGTCCTGGGTCACTGAGCCCCAGGACAGTCCCCAGGCGGCCTGGTAGCAGATGCTAGCCTGACCGACCAGTGGGGGGCTCTGGGCTTGTCACTCTGCTCTTGGGGAGACAACCATTCTCCATGAGCGAGAGAGCCCGAAACGCCTGGACAGGCCCCACACAGCTCGCCCCACACGCTCGCCAGCTCCCACTTGCTCTCTTGCCCTCGTGTGCACCAAGGCCACAGGAAGAGACTCCAAGGGGCAAAGCTCACCTTCACTCCACACGGAGGGCCAACCCAACTCAGAGCAAAGCAAATGTTAGCCCAAGACACAGTGAAGTGGCCTGCACCCCGCCCGCCACCGCTCCCCTCTGACGTCACTGCACAGCACGGACAGGGTGCACCACGCATGCAAATCAGGCCAGCCTGCCTGCAAAGGCCGCTGGGCTCACTAGACACAGGATGACAGAGTCTGGGCCTCAGCTCACACCCAAAAGACCAGAGACCTGAAGGGGAACCTGACAACCCCTTCTCCCCAGTTTCTGGGGAGGTTTATAAAGCCTCATATGAGCACATCATCTCCCAGAAAAAGTGAGCTGCCAGCAAATGCGATGTACGTATTCCCCTGTGCTGGCGTCATTCCCTGGGTGAGTGAAGGGGAAAGGCCCTCACTCTTCACTGTTCTGGGTGGACACGGCTCACTGGGTCTAGACTGCTTCAGTTGAGGAGGGTTTGAGGTCGACTCTGTGTGTCCTGCCTTGTCACTGTGTCACGGCTCCGCTCCTGCCCCCTTGGGGCGTCCCCAGTGAGTTCTGGGATTTCAGACACAGCTGACAGGCTCAGGACACCAGCTCCTGACTGTCATATACCTCTGTACTTAAAAAAACCCTACCAACAAGAACCTTCTGGAACAAGATTCACCCACACAAGACCACTAGCCATCTCACCAAAGGGCCACTTTTCGAGTCCTGCACTACGCAACAGTCACAAAATTATAAAAGAAGAAACTACAATCCCAGAGGCGCACGGTTCGAATCCACCAGATGCTCTGCCGGGGAAGGAGGGGCAATCTCCTCCTGTACCAGTCAGATCTGATTTGACGGTACACAGACACAAAAATAATAATAATAATAATAATAAAAAAATTATAAAAGAAGAAAAAAGACCCCATTCAGGTGTGGAAAATGCCCGGCGTTTGGCTTTCTTGGAGCCGGTGGGAAGCAGCAGGTGAGCTGGGCAGTGTCATGGGCCAGCCGGGCAGGTGGACACCACGATGGGCTGGTGCCACGTGAGGCTGGCCCTCGGGTGCCGGGGAATCCACGCTTTGAGCAACCTGGTGCTGCCAGGCACGCTGTCCGTCGTCAGTGGGGAAATGGGAGTAGGAGTGGGCAGGGCGGCGGCTCCGAGTCACGCACAGCCCTGACCTGCTTTCGACTCCTCTGAGCTTGCCTTTACCAGTGTGAACACACCCAGGGGTGAAGCAGTGATGAGTGGAGGAAGCGGCCCCACAAGCAGTGTGCGCCCTCCGCAGAGGATCCTTCATCACCGGCCGGCACCACCATCAGTGGGCCCCTTAGACCAGCTCTTCTCTAACAGTGCTGCCCCATCCTCAAAGAGCACGCCTGAGCGGACCACCCTGACGGTGAGGGCAGTTCACAGGAACCCCAAACCCAAATCCTGTCTCTGAGGCTCTGTGCTCAGCGTTTAGGGCTGCTAGTCTCTTTAAGCGGCCCGGGAGGGCCTTCTAGAGAAGACATGCCCACCCTCAGACGACCTGGAAGGTCCAAGGCCACGTCCATCACTCAGACACTTGTCTGGAGGTGGAGGATCATGGCCAGGTGAAGACTTGACCCTCTGCCCTACCAGGGAAACTGGGAGCTCAGGGAAATGGCCTTCAAGCTAGCAGGCAGCTGGAAGTCCCAATTACTATTTATATCCAAGGATCTGTAATTACCTGGCTCAGCCTGGGAAAGCTAGCAGCGCCCAGAGCGCCATAAAGATTAGAAGGAGGTGTCCGGGCGGGACTTCCCCTTAGTACACAGGTGCGCTTTACAGACAGGTCTAAAAATATCCCAGCTGTGGGAGTCAGCAAAGGTCCCCAGAGCTGCTGTCAGAGAGGGAACCTGGAGGGAGGGGAGCAGGCCACGGCACTTCTAGCCAGCTGACAAGGCCCAGAGGGGAGCCGTCTGGCCAGACACAGGCTAGACATGACTGACCCAGAGTGGACAGCAGGCCCTGGGGAGGACAGACAGGGTGGGGAGCTCCTGGGCCAGGCATCGCCCTGCTCCCGCACTTGTAGGCCCTGGGGGGCTCCTGGGGAGGACAGACTCAGTGGCTGAGGCCTATCCTGGGGTGAGGGTCCCCGAGGATGGGGCCGTGCCTGCCTGCCAACCCTGACAGTCTGGAGACAAAGTCCTTGTACATACCCCTGCCCCTCCTCCAGTCCCTTCCAGAGCCCAGCCCAGGCCATTCACTGGCTGAAGACAGAACCTTCCACAGGATGGTCCGGATCCACTAAGGACATTTCAGGAAAGGGTCCTTCCCTCCGCTTGACAGGAAAGCCCCTGCCTGACCTTGGTGCTCCTTTGCTGAGAGGAAACTGTGGTTCCCAGCATGGGACGCTCACCGGGAGAGGAGCTGGAGCAGCAGCTGGCAGGTGGGGAGACACCACCGAGCAAGCAGCTCTGAGAAACGGGACAGGCAGGAGAGGGAGTCGTCTGCACCCCCGCCTCCTCGCCCCACAGGCTCTTGAAGCTGGGAGCAGTCCCTGTGACCCAGTTAAGGCAGCAGGAGGGAGAGACCAGAATAGAGATTTGCTTAAAGTGACGCTCTTCTGTCCATCACAAGGCAGTGTGGAGAGAGCCAAAGGACACCCCAGAGCAGAGGACACTCCTGCAGGTCAGAAAACTGAGGCAGGTGTGACGCTGTGTGGACAGCAGAGTGACCAAGGGCCACGCCTGGGCAGAGGATGGAGGAGCAAGCAGACGCCTGCTCCGAGGCCCTGCAGCCCTCCACTGCCCACTATGGCCAACCACCTACCTGGGCAGCTGCGGGGAGCGGGGCTTGACCTTGTCCTTGTCACGCTCCCGGTGCTGCCGGTCCTTCTCATCGCGCTTGGCCCGCTCCCGCTCCCACTCCTCCTTCCGCCGCTGCCGCTCCTTGTCCCGCTCCCGCTCCCGCTCGCGTTCCCGCTGCCGCCGCTCCCGCTCTCGGTCTCGCTCCCGCTCACGGTCCCGCTCCCGCTGCCGGTTCTCCCGCTCTCGCTCGCGGTCCCGGTCCTATCCGGGCCCAGATGAGAGTGTGAGGGTGGGCCCGGAACACCGCCACGCTGTGCCGCCCTGCCCTGAGCACAGCCCCGTTCTCAGCCCATCCTGCGCTCAGCACAGCCTCTCAGTGGGGGTGCCAACGAGTGGAACCCCCTGCCGACAAGTCAGTTCTGCCCTGAGGAGACAGACCCTTCAGGACAGAGCTAAATGCCCCATATTAAGAGGCTGCCGTCTCTACAGGAACTGAGGACCGGGGAGAGGGCCACCAAGCCATCAGGCTCTTCTCCACACAGGGCTGGGAGTCACCTGACTTAGCAGGTGAAGGGGCTAAGCACCCCAAAATGTTGCTCTTGCTTTGTTTCTAGAACGATCTTCAAACACCTTCTCCACCTATAGAACCACCCCAACCTGGTGGCATTAACACACAGCACAGGCCTAAGGTGCTGCCCCTATGTGCCCTGCCCGAGGATGGGATGGGACCTGGGGTAAGCTGGGGCTCAGAGCCCCCATGTCACATTGGGACACTCCCAGCCCATCCTTCCTGTCAGTGCAGACAGGCCGCAGAGCAGGCCCTCTGGGGAAGCAAGCGCACCTGTCTAGAAAGGCACAGGCCGACGCAGGGCCACACCCACAGCACGTGGGGGACAGCCATACAGCAACCAGGCGGCAGCAGTTCAAGAGGCCATCACTAAATGCTTCAACAGCCAGCTCAGGAAGGGGGCACTCGGACAAGCCCACCTGAGACCCAACCTCAGATACCCGGTGGAGCCCCAGCTCTCAGCTCGGGTCTGAGCGAGCGCTTGAGGGTGTCCTGGACACTAAGGGGCAGGTCTGGTGCTCCATACTCACCCGGTAGTTGGAGTACGGATCTGTCTCTGTGTACTGCACCCTGAAGTTCTCGTACTGGCCGCCACGCCAGAACCGCTCGATTTCATAGTCATAGTACGGGTCTGCGTAAGGCTCAAGTCTGTGAAAAGGAAGCAACAAGGCAGAGTTCACATAAGGCAAAGAGAATCACACACCGCCACGACCACGTCACTGCCGCCACGACCACGTCACTGCAGCGGAGTGCCGGGGCCTGGGGACCTGCCTGCAGTGTAGCCAGTGCAAACCCGGAGAGAAACGACACACTTTACCTGCAGACATCTCAAATGCCTGTGTAAAACTGCAGTGCCTGATGACAATGCTCTCAAGACAGAGACAACACTGACATAACTCAAGACACACGGCCTGTGAGCAGAACGGGCCTGCAGCTGACCGCTCGAGTGGTCACCTGGGCCACCGGCAAGGGCAGGGGCAGGTGCAAGGACAGAAACAGAGGGCTCCAGGCTAATCAAAGAGGGAGACTGTCAATGCTGAGGCCGAAGGTGGAGCCCCAACAGCCCCATCAAGGGAAAGGCAGCAGGCCTCTTGCACAGCTGCACACGGGACCGTGAGCTTCGGAGGAGAAATGTGCATAGGGCACCTGAGGGGGCTCTGACAGCGCTTCTGAGAGACAGACAGACACCCTGACCTAGACAAGCCGACTCATGGCAGCTTTGTAGGACAGAGAATCTCCGTGGGGTTCCAAGACTGTTAGGATTTACACCGAAGCAGACCACTGCATCTCCACACAGCTGGTGGCCCTGAACCACCGCAGCTAGCAGCCCAGCATGGACCCACCGGACCACCAGAGCTCCAGCGAGAGATGGGTGAGACTGAACAAGATGACAGCCTTGTCCCAGCACAGAACTCAGGGATACCACAGAGCCGCCAACTCTCTCCAGCACAGTGAGAGTTTTCTAGAGAACCAAATCAGTCATGTCCAAGGCTATGTGGCAAAGCAGGTACATGAGAGCCACGCAGAAGGTGACCGTGACAAGGCCAGCCGTCATGGCATGCGGTTAAAGCTGGCACAGATGAGAGGGCTGGCTGGTGCAAAGGGTGGCCAGATGTAGAGCCGGGGCAAGTGACTCCTTGGGTCTGACTGGGGCAGGAGGGGCTCCTCGCAGTAAAGAGTGATGGGATGGAACTGAGACGGGTCAGGGCAGAACAGACTCCACCTCACAGAACACAACCCAAGGTGTCAGTATGACCTGCAGGCAGGTTGCTCTCCAGACCCCTCCCTCAGAACTCCAGGTACACCTGGGGAGGGGACCACCAGATGGCCAACCATCCTGAACACAGGCAGCCCCCACTACACTGTAGCTGCGTGTGCAATGGGAACATACGCTGTACAGCATCACGAGATTTGTCCCAGGACAAGGTGTTGAGGGTGCATGGCCGGGGGTTTGGGTCCCGGGTACAGCTCTCCTGAGCTGTGTCCCCCAGAACCAGGCCCAGGCTCTGTTCCAGTGCCGTGCAGGGCACCCTCTTTGTGTCCACTGGCTCTGTGGGCTGCCACAGGCATGCTGCCTACAACTCGGACCAAGCAGCAGGCTTCGGGACAGGACAGGCCTGGCCACGTCTTTGAAAGCCTGAAGTGTGCAGCAAATGCCTGCTCTGGCCCACGAAAGACAGATCAGGTGCACCTGCATCCCAAACCCCTCTGTACTCCTGGGCTCTGCCTGAAGGCCCCAGGGAAGGGGACCGGAAATCCCCACGTCGGCTCATCCATCAGGAGTATGTGTAAACCACACCACTGCCTCACCTGCCTACAGGTAAGGCCTTGATCCCAGGTGAGAAGACTAACACAGATATGAGGAGCAACACAGACCCACTCCCTCTGTCAAAGACCTCTTCAAAGCACTCATGAGCAAGGATTTCAGTTTAAAGATTAAGGTGTGCCTGATCTTAGCCACAATATCTTCAGTTGCTTCCTATGCATCTGAAAGGTGAACAAGGAGTAAGGATGACAGAATTACTGATGCCCTTTGGTTTTGGAGATGAGTAGTAGATATCCCACGGACCGTCAAAAGAGGAAGTTTGTCTGCAAGAAAATGCAAGCAGATGCTCCTGAGAGGCAAGGATGATGAGGCTTCACCTCTCACACTCCTGGCATGTTGTTAGGAGGGTCCAGTCCTTGGAAAGGGGCGTCAAGCTGGGAAAAGTGAAGGATCAGAGAAAGAGAGGACTGTCAAAAGGATGATGGGTGACCAAGTGGCTGTAACAATGGGCTGGAGCCTATCAGAGACGGTGCGGCTGGTATAGGACGGGCAGGCTTCAGATCTGCTGTTTACAGCATCACTAGGACTTGCCGTTGGATAGAAGGCACCTCAGCACTTTTTAAATGTATTCCGTTTCACCCGGTGAGCACTGCGCAGCAGAGGGCCCTCTCAGCAGCTGACGCACGGGGGCGGGGTGGGGACCACGGCATGGCTGCAGCGCCCGTGCATGAGTGGAGAATGCTGGCCGCTCCACAGGCCCTGCCTGCTGGGCATTTCTGTCAGCTGGGGCCGACCAGGTAACTGCTCAGTTTTCATACACACACCAGTGTGATGTCGTGGGGCAGAGACAGCCCACACTTGTCACAGAAGGCCCTCCCTGCCGTGTCTAGAGGTCAGTGACAGCTCTGGTGGGCATCGCTAGTCCTGAGTTACTTGGGGAAGGGGGAGGGTTCCAGACAGGCCCTCAGGTCTGGAGGAACCCTGACAGGCAGCATCCCAGCCCACGGGCCCTGCACAGCCCTTTACAGCACAGTCAGAGTGCAGCTTGGTGCAAGGCGGACACCGGTCACTCCACAGGTACTGTCTGTCTGTCTGTCTTACGCTGTATCTCGGACGTCCCTGGTGATCCGGTAGTTCCAGTCTCGGAACACCTCGTTTTCCTTGTCGAACTCGCGCTCGTCCTCGCCGATGGTCACAGTGAGCCTCTTCTCTTCAAAGTCAGGCTCCTGCTCCTTCCGGATGGTGGCTTTTTTCAAAACCTGCCATTGTGAGAAGGGGGTCAGCATGGAGCCGGCGCGGTGACTGCAGGGGGTGTCAGCTCCGGCCAGGCCCCAGCCCCTGGGCCAGGTGGGGCAGCTTGGTGTCTGTCTAGTCTGTGCCCAGGCAGCACTACTTGCAGAGCCAGAGAGTCCTGTGCACGCAGGGGTCAGGAAGCACGTGGTCAGAGGAGGGGTGGCCCTCACAGGAGTTCGTGGGGTGAGGGTAGGGAGGGCCCAGAAAGCTAACTCCAGAAGAGAAGCGGGCTGAGCATGGACTGATGAGAAGGAAGGAAAGGTCACTCTGTCCGTTGTCTCACTAGGAAAGAGGGCTGGAGGCCAGGAAAACTGGCTGAAACAGGCACTTGATCAAGGACCATGTGCATGCTGATGGGCTGGGAGAGGGGAGCAGGGAGGCAGGCCTCCTCAACAGGCTATCACTGGGGTTCACGTAACGAACAGCCAGACCCCAGTTCCCAGCTACGTCCGCCTAGGGGAGCCAGCCAGACCCAGTGCCCCCTCCCAGTCCTGAGCATGAAGCCCGGGGATCAACTCAGTTTCTGCCACTCTGCTTGGGGCCCATCTCCCTGCTAGGGGTCCCTTGCACCCCAGCTCCCCTCCTGGGCTGTTGTCTGCCCCACCTCACTTCGTTTCCTGTCCTCCCACCCTGGCCCCTCTCGGGCCTGTCTCCCCCTCAGGTCTCACCTCCTTGGCGTGCCGGAGTCCTCGCTCCCACGCACTCTCTGTCGGGGGCTCGGGAGGTGGTGGAGGCAGAATCTCGTCGACTACTGGGCCCCCCTAGCAGAACCCGAGGGAGAGAATGAAACCAAACATCTGACTCAACAACAAACAGGAACAGAAGTGCTGGGCCAGGCAGCCAGACACGGGTGCTCTCGCTGAGGCCGGGCACCCCCTCCCGGGCCTGGGGGGCACCCCTCCCGGGCCTGGGGGCCTCATAATTGCTGTATACACAATACACAGAGGGCCAGAAGTCCCAACCTGGCCACAAACCAAGTGAGACGTTCACGTACCCAGGGATTGGCGGGCATCAGCGGGTGGGGGCCGAGCGGCGGGGCGCCGTTGGGTGGGAAGGGCTCGGCTTTGGTGATGAGGGAGTAGTTGCCCTTGTCGTTGACGCCAGGATGGATGAACCTGCAGTTCATGCCCCAGGTACAGTTTCCTATGGAGACAGACGGCAGTCAGGAGGTGGCCGTGGTCTGCACTCACGCAGGCAGGGAGCAAGCTGGCCTCCTCCACGTCCTGGCAAGTCCTCACGGTCCAGCAAGGCAGGAGTTCAGTGTAGCGCCCAGTCACACAGCACCACGTGGGCCCTCGGCTCCACACAGGGGACAGAGCCGGTCCTCCAGGACTCCCATCACAAAGGGAAGGGGCACATTGCTTCAAAGCCCCCTCCTGGTGTCACACACATCAGCTCGGAGAAGGAGCACCTCCGTCCAGCCAGCTGGCAGGACCCCGCTCCCCACAGACCTCCCTCAGGGACACAGGAGCCTGTCACACTGGTCTCCCAGGACCATGGGCGCATACACACCAGCATTCCGCACAGCTGCCTGAGGGCCACCCTCCAATTAAGCGCCCCCGAACCATTTGGCCCTCTCCTCAGAAGCCCCAGGCCGACTCAACCTCCTTACGACAGAAGTGGATGCTGCCCTCCCCTGCCGTCCTTGGGGCGGCCCAGAACAAACGTGTGCTGAAGAGAAGACACGCCGGCCGCAGCAGGGACACCAAGCAGCTCCGCATCTGTCTGTAACACGTACCACCACAACGGGTCCCAGGGTGCACCCCTGACTCTCAGGGCAGCATGGAAACGGGAGGCGGGATTTAACAGAGTTGGCCTCTGGGAGTCACCGCACTGGGCCCAAGCAGCCGTGCAAACATTCCCAACACGTCAGCGCGCACTGACACGGCAAACCACGCTTGACAACAGATTTGAGCCCCCTAGGACGTCATTTCAACATTTCTACCAACAAAGCTGTTTCTCTTTTAACGTCAAGTGAGGGAGTTGCCGGTGGCCTAGTGGGTAAGGAGCTGTGATGCTGACGCAGAGCCAGCACGTCGCGGGCCTTCCAGGGGGAAGATGGGCAGTCGCCTTCCCTGAGATTTACAGCCTCGGAAAACCTGGGGAAGGTTAGCCCATGAGCTGGTGCCGCCTCAGTGGGACACAGCAGTTTACAAAATAAGTAGATAGTATTTCAGCAGTCAAATCTTAGGCAAGAAACTCATTCACTGCCTTTGAGTCGGAACTGAGCCCAGCTGTCCCTCCAGCAGACTTCTGAGGCCAGAACGTGAGGGAAGGAGACTGACTGCTCCCTGGTCGTTGTGGGAGCAGCACTGCAATGACCTATGGAGTCTCTCAGCAGAGCTCCACACGTCAGAACCACACGTGCGGCCTTCAGGACCAGAAAGACGACAGCACGAACGTGCAAGCTCAAATGCAAGCTCGTCTTCAAGACAACATCTCATCTTGACCTAAATACTAAATACAGCACACATAAACCTGCTCTCTGAGATTGGAAAATGACAGGGTAATTTTTAAAAATCCGCACACTGAAGTCAGGAGGCTGGGGATGTACTTCCTTAGGGCTGGGAACCCCATCTCCAGGAGGTTTAAAGTGTCACGTGTTGGAGCGGACCCCCAGTCCCCGGTGCCACAATCTGATGCTCTCCGGAGTCACATCATTCAGTGTTACTCACAGAAGTTAAGAGTAACTTCTGCACAATGCACAAACTGTCCCAGGCACAGAGAATTATGAGGAAAACAAGGCAAAACGGTTTCTCATTCTGTTAAGCTAAATGTGTCCACCCAGGTGGAGTCTATCCAGGCGGAGGCCATGGAGGGGCCTATGACTTGCTGGTCTCCCTCTCCACGGTACCGCCCTGCAGGGATGGTTACTAGGGGTAGTTCCTAACTAACCGCTCAGCTCGTCAATCAATGTGTACCCAAAACCTGCTGCCATGGAGTCAGGCCCAACTCCCAGGTGACCCTCCAGCAGGTCTTCAGAGGATGACTGCAGGGATGGAGACCCTTGGAGCAGCTGTTGAATGTGAACTGCTGTGGTCACTGGGTTGGCAGTGCCGCGCTTTACCCACTGGGCCAGCACAGCTCTGCTAACTTTCCCCGGGCACGTTAACATAGCTGTTCTGCACTCTGTGTTTCCCTGCTGAAAAACACGTTGCTAGGTGTACTTCCTTAATGCACATCTTAGCTACTACTTCAAAAGAAAAATTCAACTGGCAGTTTCTGGCAGCCCCGGTCCAGTGTGCGCTGGTGCCACTGGTCAATACCAGGCGCTCACCTTACGCCACGTTCTGCTTTTTTCCAACGGCTTTTCTGCAATCGCACACTTCATCAGATGGAGGCGCAGCGCGACATTAAGTTCTGTCTGCACCAGGAAAGACCAGGTCAGAGACTCGCTCCACTGAGCTGTGCTGTGCTCACAAAAAAGGACCCAGTCACAAAAGCCACGCCTTCCGTGCAACGGCCGCAGGGCCCTCGGCAGAAACCCGCCCTCACCTGGACAAGCGAAGGCGTCTCTGTGAGCAGAGGAGGGTCTCGGAGCGCTGCCCTGGACGGGGTGGGGGATGTCTGGAGGACCTGAAGCACTGCGCAGTAGCACCAATGTCCTTGCAGGAGCAGGCTTGCTCCCTGACCTTTGGGCAGCAGACTCAGGCCAGAGCGGCAGCATGCTGGCTTTGCCCGGCATCACTCATCAGAATCGTGTCGGAACTGTGTTGGAGTGTACACCAGCGGCAGCAGGAGTGAGCGTGGAAGACCCTGACTGAGGACCTTTCTGTCCTGGCGCCTCTGTGGCTCCTGTCCCCATCCACCCCCCTTCCCCACTCCTGGTCCTGAGCTGTGAGTTCCTCCCTGGTGTACTGCTTACCTCAGGCCTGTCTAGTGCCTGGCTCAAAGCTGAATCGAGGTTCAAATGGTAACCAAGAGTCTGCCATGCAGGTCCCACCAGTCTCTACTAGCTCATTTGAGCATTTCTGTTTCTCTGTCCAGAACCTTCCCCCACGACCCTGTCAGAGTGGCCAGGAGTGGTACGTGGGTACCCTTCAGTGGTCAGGACGGACCAAAGAATCTCAGTGTGGGGTGCGGGAGGAGCGGATGGAACCACTCAGTTAACTACTACAATCACTGATTTGGTGAGTTTCATGGCATGTTAATTATATGTCCATAAATCTTACCTTTCAAAGGCTATTCAAAGTGTTGAGATTTATATAAATCATAATCTCATTACCAAAAGTGTGAAAATACAAAAGTTCCAATGATCGTGAAATCCGGATCCGCTGGAGCAGATGAACCCACGTCACTGCTCTGAGATTATCACCTTTACACCTGAAACCACAACAGCCCCCAAAGTCTTCTACAACCAAGCGCTGCACAGACTCCCGCGATCTGGGCTCCCAAGAGCTAAAGTGAGACCGAAGGGACGACGGGAACCTCACAGCTAAGGAGGAACCTTCAGGGACGTGCATCGGTGCTGAGGAGGGAGAAGCCGGGTCCACTGAGTGCTGGGCCGTGCCTGTCCTGCTCTGTACACGCCCAACGACGACACTGCACAGACAACACAAAGACCCAATTCTCAGTGCTGCACCAACGTCATCACTGAGCGACGCTGCCTTTCGGACCGCAAGGCATGACTACCAGTAGAGTTTTACCATTACGATGGCCGCAATTCTGACCAGAGGGACCCCTGAGAGAGTCTTGGGGACCTTTTGTGGTCCCCACTCTGAGAAATGCTTTCAGTAAAACAGAATAAAGGAGCAGAAATGTGGCGGTGTGGCAAGCACTCACGCTCGGGTAGGCCACAGCCACAGAGCAGGACAAGTGTCAGGAAAGCGCAAGTCCTTCGTGGATGGAATCCTGTTGTTGTCAGGTGTCGTGGAATGAGCCCTTTTCTAGCCTATGCCGTCCTTACAACCTGACCTGCTCAAGCCCATTGTTGCAGTGTCTATGTCGACCCATCTGCTGCGGGACCTCCTCTCTTTTGCCAGCACCCCACCTCTCCAAACATGATGTGCTTCTCCAAGGAGCAGGTTCTCTTAACAACATGCCCAAAGTATGAGAGGAAGCTTTCTCGTCTTTGCCTGCAGGGAGCATGCTGGCTTTCCTTTCTCTAAGACCTGTCTGTTCTCCTTGCTGTCCGTGGGGTGGTCAGTGTTCTTTTCCAACATCACAGCTCAAAGGCATCAATTCTTCTCCTGTTGTCTGTATTCACTGTGCTCAGATGCATAGCTGGTAAAAGGAAAGACCACGGCCCAATGCTGTGGTCACATGCCACTAAATACAACCCACAATGACCCTATGGACAACGATGTGAGCCCTGGCATTCCTGGGTTACATTCTAGAGCCCACTGCAGCAGTCACGGTGTCAGCCCACGTGGTTGAGAGTCTGCCTCTCTTCCACTGCCCCTCCGCCTTTCCTACCAATATACCCAAAGTATGTGAGATGAAGCTCTATCATCTTCGCCTCCAAGGAGCACTCTGGCTGCACCCTCTCCAAAACGTGTCTGTCTGCTCTTTTGGTGGTCCATGGGATAGTCAGAACTCTTCTCCACAGCTCCGAAACATCAATTCTTCTCGTGTCACCCTTAGTCAGGGTCCAGCTGTCGCACAGCACGTGACTGTAAAGACCACAGCCTGAATCAGGTCTACCTTAGTCCTCACAGTGACATCATTCTTCCTCATTCATTCGGAGAGGTTCCTGACTGCAGACTTTCCCAGAGCAACACTTCTCATCTCCTGACTGCTGCTACCAAGTGTTACGGATTCCTTGGAGAAGCTCACTATCAGCAGTCAAAACCAGGCCAGGTGCTGACTGTGGAATAGGCCATCAAGTTCAAAGGGAAGCTCAAGAAAACGTAAAAAAAGGCCAAGAACCAAAATATGATCTTGAGTCTATCCCATCTGAATTTAAAAGTCATTTAAGACGTCAAAGAAAACATCCATGAAGTGAGCAAAAGGTCATTACAAAGAAAGAGGAGAAAGAAAAAACCAAAGCAGATGCTCGAAGGCACTCTGAAAACTGCTCTAGAGCTGTGAGAAGTCAGAACAGGGGGAAGAGACGCCGAGGAGAGAGCTAAAGAAAAGACTGCAGAGGAAACTGCTGTCATCGAAGAAGAAAAAAAGAACTTGGTCGGCATTTCTCAAAGTGAAAACCACACTCAAGCCTTGAGCTGCCTCCTGACATCTGCTGTGGGCACAACCCTGTGTGAATCAGGTACCCAGGTAAGGAAACTCTAGCCTCAACCAAGTCTCAGAACCGTACGTTCCTTAATGGGCCCTGCGGACAGTTTCTGGCAAGCTGGGCTGTGCCATGTTTTCCTGTCAAAGGCTGCAAACAACAGGGAGTCTACCGTGCACCATTTACAACCTGTGTTATGCAGATGCCACAACCTTGTTAGCTGAGACTGAGGAGGACCTGAAGCACTTGCTACAGAAGGTCAAGGACTGGAGTCTTCAATATGGACTGAAGCACAACATCAAGAAGACAAAGATTCTTACCACTGGGCCAGATGGCAGCACCATGACGGATGGAGAAGAGATTGAGGTTGTTAGCAATTATAGCTTGCTCAGTTCCTCAATCAACACTTTTGGCACCAGCAGCCAGGAAATCAAAAGGCGAATTGCATTGGATAAGTCTGCTGTCAGGGACCTTTCCAGAGTACTGAGAAGCAATAATGCCGGTCTCGAGACTGCTGCTCCTGATCTAGGCCATGGTCTTCACAATTACTTGCTATGCATCAGAGAGCTGGATAATGACTAAGGAGAATAGAAGAATTGATGCCTTTGAGTTGTGGTGCTGGAGAAGTCTTGAATATTACCATGGTCTGCCAAGAAACAAGTTGGTCTTAGAGAATGTGGAACCAAGTTTCTCCTTGGAGACAAGGATTATGAAGCTCCATCTCACACACTTGGGGGACGTGGTCGGGGGGCTGGTCCTTGCACAAGGCCATCGTGCTCAGAAGGGTGAGGAACAGCACAGGAGAGGGAGACCCAGATAAGACGGTCTGATACAGTAACTAGGGCAATGGGAGTTGGTCTATTGGAGTCAGTGAGACTGGCTCAGGACGGGGTAGGCTTCAGAGCTATTGTACGGTGAGTGAGTCGTGAGCGACTTGACCACACATAACAACAACACAGAACAGAGTTTTAACACTCATGCAGGTAGAGACCCTTACATGCACAAGTCAAGAGTTTCTAGTGTACTCACAAAGCTATGAAACCCTCACCACCCACTAGTCGTGGAATTTTCTTACCATCCAAGAGGCATCCGTGAGCCACCACCCCCACAACCTTCCCCAGCCTGCAACCACTCATCTACCTGCTGTCCAGACCCATTCTGGTCACGTCACAGGAATGGGGCTGCGGGACACCGCTCCTTCAGTCTAGGCTCCTGTCTGTTGCACTGTGTCCCCGCGGTGACACAGCAACAGATGGCATGGAGGGCTGCTCTACCTGTTGCTGTCCTGAGTAAGCCTTCTGCCAACATCCATGTACAAGTGTCCTCTTCTCCCCTAGGAGGGAGCTGTGCGGCTTCTCAAGCCCTGAGGCAGTTTCCCACAAACCAGTTCCTATTGCGACCAGTGGTGGATGAGCGCGCCAACGTCTCCACCTCCTGGACAAACCAGCAAACGTCAGTTGATTTTCACAATGGCCTCTTTAGACACTGGACAAAACCGACAGTAAATCAATTCAAATCTGAAACTAAATTTACAAACTGCAAGGAACCAAAACCAAAAGGCAAATCCAAATCAAGCTCTTCTGAGAGTAACAGACATGTTCTCGACATGAGACAGCGACGCTGCTCTGCAGAGAGGGCCAGCGGGGGCTGCTCATCTCGCGGATTTCAGACCTTCCACGCTGAAGGAGGACGGCAGCCGTGTGCCCGACAGCACTGGGCTACAAGGGAGTCATCCTCACAGTATTTAATCGTCCTCATCTTCACAAGAGAACATGGGCTTGACTCAAGCTCCCCCTATGCCACACTGGACAGTCAGTTCGCCTCAGTTCTGACTGGACAGCACACGCCACCACCAGCACGCTGCGGAACAACCTTAGACAACGTAGCGGAGCCCTGTCACATGCAGGATCCAGCAACTGCTGTGACTCCTCGGCTGTGCTGCTGGGCTAGAACGAGCCTGACATCGAAGGCGCCTGCGTGAAAAGCATCCCAGAGGCCCACGCTGCTGCCACCGCCCAGTGGGCTAAGCATGGCTGTGCAGTCTGTGGGAGGCACGCTGCCACCTCAAAGTTGGTGTCTCTACCAGTCCCAGTGCACAGCTGCTCTGTGGGGGAGACGGGCAGCCTCCTCCCCTGTGATGCACCATCAGCAATGGGTCAGTTCTGGCTCAACCCCAGAGAGTCCGAGTGTGTTTTCTGTTTTTATCTGAAGCTGTGAAAATGCTGCCTAATCACAAGCTTCCTGCAGACTCTCCCCATAGTGAGCACTGGGGGCCCACCTCTCAGCGGATGGTGACCCACAGGCCTGTGGAGTCTCCTCTGATCCTGTGTCCAGTGTCCCGGAGAGGAGCACTGAAATCAGGATTTGCTGCTCCTGTTGGTAAGCTCAGGGCGTGTGTTCAGTCATCCCTGAGGGGACCCCTGTGAAGAGGAGGCACACACAGGCCCTTCCCCTCAGCTCCTCAGCCATCGGAGAGGGGGTGACTCAGCTGTCACTTCTCAAACGACAGAGGCAGAAGACGCCACTGGAGCTGAAACTTTCTGAATATGGCCACTCCAAACACAAGGGCCCTGCTGTAAGGGACTGCTGACTCCGAGACATTTAGACACCCCGCTCGCTCTTCAGCAGCTACACCGCATAAAGGACACGTGTGTACCCAGCAGCATCTGACCACCTGAGGACAGCTGGCCCGCCATGGGCACAGCCCTGCTGAGGCTGTGGCATGAGCGATAGGGCAGAACCTGCCATACCCACCTGCCCCCCAGGCTGCCTGCCCTCCCCCTGCCTGTCTGCTCCAGCATCTCGAGCACGAGGTCCACAAGGTCCTCTGCCCCTCCTTCCATCACCATCACGCTGGCTCTCGGTGCAGAGGAGGGACGGCCGCGGAGCAGCAGGGGTCGAAGGGGCTAAAGAGTGAACAGAGCAGATTGGTACCTTTAACCTGGCCTCTGAATGGAATGGAATTTGAGAGTGGTGGAGTGGGAAATGGCGGCACATCTGGAAGAGAAGTACACAGGGGTGTGAGTGTCAGGGCCCACGCCAGCGGGCCAGCAGACGCAAGGAGGGGCCAGCTGCTGCCTGACCGAGACCTGCCCAGCACTAACCCCACCTCCATGTCCACCTCATGGGCTGGAGCGGCGCACTCCCAACGGCTGACGCCGCTCCCCTGCAGCCACGTGCCTGACCCGGCAGGTACAGCACACGGAGGCTGGTTAGGGCGGATGTGGAGCAGCCTTCCCGCACTGCCACCTGCCAGGCAGTGTCCATGCCAAGGACGGTGGGTGCCCCAGACACTCAGACAACCACGCCGAATAAAGGGAATACTGGCTTCACTTGCAGGAAGTGACCCCTGGGCACTGGCCCCACAGTGGAGCCAGATGCAGCTGGCACCCTGAGGGCTTACTGGGGAGTCCTGGGAGGACAAGCCCCTAGTGCCCAGTCTCTGCTGGCCGCCCACCACGCAGCCACATACCCGACGCTGGGCTGCTCCCGCCCTGGCAACAATTACCTTTCATGAAGAAGCGGCAGGTAGGGCGAGGCCTCACCTTCCTGTCACTGGGGTCCTTAACCTCGCCTTCTTCAAGGTCATCATCCTGAAACGGAGGAGATGGTTGTGAGAGGGAGTGTGCCCTTGAAAGGGACCCACTTACTGGTCCCTGGATTCCCCACAACAGACAAGGGCCTAACCGGAGGAAGCTAAGGCACAGCGTCTGTGAGAGCGGACACTGACCGGGCAGGACTTCCACGGACTGGCAACTTTCTGCAGGAAGTGGCCGCAGCCCAGGACTTGAGCATTTCTGTACAAGATCACAGGCTTCTAAGAGTCTATGTCCCATGGAGTTACACATGTCCCTCGGTCTGGCTAGCAGCCTGGGGTAGGGGAAGGCCTGCAGCCCCGTGAGACTCAGCAGCCCCGTGAGATCCAGGTCTCGTTTGTCAGCATGGACAAACAGCCTGCCTGTCCCTACAGGGCTGCTAAGTGCTGGGGGCAATGCCAGGCCAGGGCTCTGCACATGCAGGTTGCCCCCTCCCAGAAGCAGGGTCTCATCGCACGCACGCCCAAGGCACATTTAAGCAAACTCAGATCTGTCTTTGCTCCTGTGAGAAAATGCAGATCCTGTGGAGAGATCTGAGCCCACCCACTTGAGAGTTCCTGATGACTTGAGAATATGGACACGCAGGGGTGTGGAGAGTGGTGTTCGGGAATAAGGACCCCACTCTGGTTAACTTCTACAGAGGTGACCACACACAGTGACACCACATGGCTGCTGGAGAGACTTACGGTGGCCCTGAGGGCCGCAGGGTAATGATGAACGAGGACACGGGGCAGCATACAGTGCCCCGTCACAGTGGGCACGCCGGCTGGGCTGCAGAGCCAGGGCTCCCCCTCCTCCCACCATGATCTTTCAGATGCTGGGGTTTCCCATCAGCACAACATCCTGGAAGTGCCCCTCTCTTAACCCTTCAAACACCACCCTGAATGATGCACAGCTGAGCGCAGCACACACGCTGGAGCGGGACGAGAGTGCCCCTCACCCAGGGTGGGCTCCCCTCTGCCAGCCCTGCCTGAGACGATGTGCATGGGACCCTAGCACCCAAAGCTATTTTGGCCTTGGAGGAGTCAGGCTAGGCCTCCCATCCTGGCCGTGATGATGTGGACAGCCACCACCTCGACCTCTGCTTTCCTCTGTAGGACAAAGCAGCTGTCTTCCAGCTGCGTGGACAGAACTGAGGCTCGGCCTGGGCACAGTGGTTCAAAGAAAGCAAGTGGCAGGAAGGCTCCACTGTCGTGGGCCAAAGCACAGCCCACTCTGAGCACGGACAGAACTGGTGCTCTTCCTTCTGCACGTGGGCATGTGTCCTCATTTAAACAGCAGGGTGAGCTCTCAACAACTGCCATCACAGTCACAAAGGCACAGGGAGATCTGGCCAGACACAGCAGCACAGGGACAAGGTTGTGACACTCGCGTTGATAACAAGCTCTAAGACCCATAAGACAGGAACATTGAGGCCTGTCACCCCATCCCAAAGTCCCAGGGACCAGTATTCTGGAATGCAGAAAGTCCTCTGATTTTAGAGACAATATCCACCCACTACTCTCCATTGACGGGTAGCACAGCTAGAACTGTCCCCAGGGACCCTGAGGTGGAACTCTTTATGAAGGAGACTCCTCGGCAATGGGACACTGAGCACCAGGTTGCGACAAAGGTGAATGAGCAGTGCCCGACGAGCAGCACTGCTTCAGTCAGGGACTGGACTCCTGTTCACGCCGGGGGCACAGAGACACGGCCACAGAGAAACACATGCCTGCTGGCCAGGGTCTGGGCTCCAGGGTTCCTGCAGCGTGTCAGAGCGGTAGGCCTCTACGGGGGGGTGGGGTGTGTGTGTGTGTGTGTCCCCACCAGCTGACAGGCGTGGATCCCAGTCTTAACACTCAGGTCTGGGTGGCTGCTGTGATCCTGTGCCCAGAAAGTGACATAGGAGGCAGGTGTGGACAGAATGGATAAGACTCGGTCAGGATAGAACTAATAGAGCCCTCTGCCCTTTCAGGACAGGGGCACGGGCAGGCTCAGCATCCCAGAGAGGAGAGGCAATCCAAGATCCCCATGCCAAGAAAAAGCATCCAGCTCTCCTACTGAGGGGTCCCTATGGTTCTTCGCACCCCGGCTGACAGAGCTGCCAACAGCCCCACAGAAGGCTGGAGGCCCAGCCACACCTCGGGGCCTGTTACCACGCTTGAAGGAGACACAAACACAGAAGTGAGTCTCCAGCAAAGGAGACATGAGAGACCAGTGAGGGAGTGGTCCTCTGTGCACACACCCCAGTGTGGGCTCCAGGAGGGGGAGCAGGTGACCAGTCCCAAACCCAAGGGGCAGGAAGGCCATGGGACTCGGGAGGAAGGAGGAGGGAAGGCACCCCAGCTAGTCCCATCCACGGTCCTGAGATGGTTCAGGGGGAGTGAAGCACTGGACCACCAGACCACCCTGCCCCATCTGTCTGACGACCCTGGCCCCAGCACGGAGAGGTCCTTCCAGAAAGGCAGCTGGGCTTTGGCATGCTTTGGCAGTTGGCAAACACAGAAAGTGAAGTCAAGGCCCAAGCAAGAATTTTGTGGTTTCAACAAAAGGGTTTCAAGGAGTAACACACAAAGTGATGTCACTATCAAGGAAACTGTGCCAAGGGGCAGAGAACTGGCCTGTCACCTCACCGGACTCAAATCTAAAGAGGAGAAGACAGGATGGGGACCTGATGAGAACAAGCTGGGCCGAGGCAGGAGGGGACGCATCGCCTGTCGCTCTCGGCAGCTTAGGGGGCTGGGACATGGAGGGAATGGGACATGGTGGATGACACACAGGCCACTAGCAAGACCCAGCAGGAGTGGGTGCTCCCAGGTCTCCAAGGTTGTGACCGTGACAGAAGCAGAATGCCACCTCACTGTCCTGGAGGGCAGCCGGAACCAGTGACCTTTGGGTTCCCCGCTGAGTGCTTACCCGCTGTGCCCTGGGGCTCTTTTCTGGAATGTATACTACTCACCAGGACCCTAAGCCGCTTGCCAGAGATTCACACTAGGGGGCTGGGCCAAGGCTACCTACTGGTAGTCCATCCGCAGTCTGCATATCTATCCCCACCCAAGACAGGATGGGGCACTGTGGTCCACGCATGGGGGTCCACGCAGTGGGGAAGACACACTGTAGTCCACTAGCAGTGTCATCTGCAGGGTGCAGCAACGTCTGCCTCGTCAGACTCATTAACTCACTGGTCACTCTCCCACCCGCACAAATGCCACATCAGCACCACACAAGCACCCCATAACCAGCAGCGCGGAGAGGCCCCGGACACCTTTCTTAGCATAAAGAACGTCTGCCCACAGAACTGACCCATTGTTCCTGCTCAGGTTTCCACATTTATAACAACTACAGTGATACAAGCAGTAGAATGGACCCAACCCCCCTCTGCTCACTCCATCTCTAGGGTAAGGGAGCCTTTCATCTGCCCTCATCTCTGGGTTAGGGAGCTCCATGGCCCCATCCCTAGGTTAGTGCCCCTCACCCTTGCCTCTAGGCTAGGGAGCTCCTGAGGCTCCATTTCCTATTTAGGGGAGTCCTTTGCCCATCACCCCACGACTCTAGTTAGGGAGGCCCCATCTGCCGCGCCTCCCATCTCTAGGTTAGAAATAAGCCCATTCAATACTACCAAAAGCAATTTACACATTTAATGCAATCCCAATACAAATACCAACCCCATTCTTCAACGAGATGGAAAAGGCAATCTCCAATTTCGT